TATACTAATATATTTTCTAGTCAGTTAGTACCTAGTTAAAGCCTAGACTACAAACTTATACGTAAGTTATTTCCAAGTTATGTTTGAGTTAAATGAATTAAACGCTTACTGCTGACGTCTTAAGATCTATTTTGTATAAAGGATTAATTGCTAACATATTTCTTGTAGGTACGCAATACATAGATATTTATATTTTAACTTTAGTGAGACATACTAAATCAATTATCATGTTTTTTCGGCTAACTCACGTAATTATTTGACGAGGAATTCGACTAGTATCAAGCCATGCTAGAGGCTCATATTCTACTAGGCATAGGTTACTTAGTAGCAGTACGACGGTCGCCGAGTCGCATGTCATGGAATGTTGCTCATGAAAATAATTACGTGAGTAAGCCGAAAAACATAGTAATTAATACATACATAGCTTAAAATTAACATGTTTCAAAGTTCGTCAGGTTTGGGTCGAGCTTAATATCAAATATGGAGTTCAATATTTTATTGATGTCGTATGTCATGAAAAATACCCATTCACGACTGTCTGTTTGTAAAAACGCAACAAATTACAAAACTACTAGACGTATTGTTATATGATCTTCATCAATAAATGGTGTAATCCTTAAGAAATGCCATCGCGAAGGACACTCCGGGCGTCGGGGATCGCGGGACGATCTCCGGCCACCGTAGGCGCGGGCCTGAGCCGAGTGGCCGAGTCACCCATGCTCGCCGCCCGACCAGAACCAGACCCGAGGGTACGGCGCAAGCCATTGGTCCACCACGAATGGAGCCCAACAGGGCTGTTGCCGATTCGGAGCCGCGGAGAACCTAACGGGTTACGGCTTCGGCTCGAAGTGCAGGAGTAGGAACGGGGTGGTTTTTAGTCAGTAAGAGTCTGACACTCCCTCACCCAGGCGAGAGCAGTCATTCGATGATTTCCATCCCTTACAAAAAAAATCCCTTAGAAATACTTAGGTGTATAATTTATTATAGTTTTGGCAACGCAGGAGCAATGCGTGGAAAACTAGTAAAATCTAAAGCCAAATAGCTAATAGAAGAAGAAGCTTATATTTAGTAAACAGAAAAGGTATAGATATTATATTATGTGTGCCCGGGTATAAGTAGATATAGCTTGCAGAGTTATGTGTTCTACGACTAAGTTAAGTCACAACGAAGTTGGCCGTGTTCTGAGTAATTTTATGAGACAAGGACTACGGAGGCGATGAATATGGTACATAATTTTCCTGTGCTCGGTCCACAGCTTATACTAGGAAAATTAGTGTTCTGTGCCATTGACCATACATTTACCGGTATATTGTCTTACAGTGTGATATTTCTAGCCTCTTCTGACGTTTGGCTTTTGAGTCCAAGTTAAACTCTAACTGATAAAAAATGTCATTACAACTTGTAAAGACTGAATTACTTATAAGACGGGCGTGACATATATATTACTGCTATTGTCTTTCCTAATCTATATATTTTTAGAATTGAACTTATAGAATTATTAGAAAACAAGATTAAAAAGATAATTATAATGAAAATTATATTTGTCTAAAATCATATCATACAGAAGGCGGTTTATCAGACAATCTCCTTCATAAATCTGTGTAACATGCTTATGGTCGTACGGAATTTCATAGTCTTTGATGCGTTAGTCCGATCAATTGTGCTCAACTATTACGTCTAAGCAAACTCTCTCCAATGTGAGATCCCAGATAGCTAATAAAGTGGTATTAATTCGCTGTTGAGGAACGCCATCTTAGGTTGAACTACAAATGCTTGAGTAATATTTTTTCGACACTGCTTTGATGAGAAAAACATTTTTTTAGACACGTTTCATGCCCTTCCCGTTATCTATAACCTTAACCATTACATACATTTCCTAGATCTATTATCTAAAATATTTATGTGTAAAATAAGTATCAATGCACAGCGATTCTTTTTAGAGCTCATATAGAAGAGCATAAAATGTATCGATCAAGACACAAACTGAATTAAAAGTTAAATTATAACATAAATATTTTTTTTTAAGACAGTAACGGCACGAGTTTATTTGCGTTGTGAGTTCGAACGCATTCCTACAGACGAAATATTAAACGGGACTTTTGGTTTTGCTAAGGACGAAGTAACTGCAACTGAATGAAAAAAGCAGAAGCAAAACTTTGAAGATCTGACTCAGAAAATTGCAGAAGGTAGCTAATTATTCCTATACAAATTGTGAGACTCGGGCAAGTTTACGTAGCGGTCGCAGTGCACTGAAGAACTTTAGAGCTACAACTATACCATAACTATTAGGGTAAAGATTGGTCTGCTGGTAAATTAGTTGACCGTCAGAGTTTAACGCCGCTTGCGAATTTCACAATGAACTATGGAGCACTAACTATGAACATCAGGTAGCCTCCCGATAAGATCAATTTGCCGGAGAGCCAGCGGTCTTTACAATCGACGGAGTTGAGCTAAATTTACGACGAACTTCGATGTTATCCGAAGCTAATTTACTGGTCTTACTTATCGACTCGTTTCATTGTACCTGTTGAAGGTATGATTTTAGATATTTTGCGGACTTAAGATAAAGGAATGAAAATATATGCATCATGTATGGTATTACGGACAGTTATACCATTCTATTTGGTCAAGTACTCTTTTATATTAAAACTAGTACATTAACTACACAGTACAGACTAGAAACTTATGTAAAGCAAAGAAAACGTTCACTATAAAGATTGGCATACGTAATTTCCAGTAAGGCTACTTTTACAAGTAAGTTGGTAATTGTCAGAGACAGCCACGAGCCCTAAAGTTTGAACATCTGGTCAAACAATACGATAACATCGTCTTTATACTTGTTGATTGTTGAGTTAAGACTTCGACAGCTCTTCTGCAAAATACTAGGTACTCCTCGAACGCTCAGTTTTATATTACTTTCCATTTTTTGCAAGATATAGCCGAGTATTATTCAAGAAAACAAATTTCATTCAGTATGTAGGTAATAATTCAACAACGACCGACTACCAACTATTTACTTTACCACATATCCCATGTGAATGTTTACGCTAAGCTGCGGTGAACAAGATAAAATACTTCGGCTGACTTCGTAAACAGATTTTGTTCGAAGACGTTGTTTCTTAATTACAAATTCCGATGTAACGGACAGGATTCTCCGCCGGTCGCGAACTGAAACATCCCAATACACAAGTTTGAGGGCAACTGCTTAATTAAATCATCAATATAGATTCTCAGGGGGTTATACGGTCCGTGCCCGGGTGATGTATTGCTCGCTTCAGTTGCAGATCTTCTATTAATACACTTGTTTAGATAACACACAAAAACATTATAGCCATTGTGATCAATGTGTCGACTTAATATTGTAGATGTTTGAGATGATACAAATAGGGCATCATAATTCTTACGTTGTTCACTTCGGTCCTTTCATAGGTCTTATTTTTAATCTGAAAGCTAAATTCGAAATAAATCCTTTAGCATCTGGTTTCAATTGAAAGGCTGAACAAGGATCCGATTAAATCCATTCATCAAAGTATTATCTAATTGACAATTTAAATTGGAAATTGAAGAATCGGCAGAGGATTGAACTAATAAACAGTTTTGTTGGAGGGCAAAACAAATATTTAATTTTGACCAGATCTGGGCCCCATAACAACGTTTCCTTTAGAAGATTATCTAGGATTTCGTCAGGATAAGTGAGATCTAACTCGTAATTTCAATTGATCCCGTCCTGTCGATATTCTCATCCCTGTGGGAGTTCCAATAATACCTGTTAATTGGAAACTAGTCCCTCAATGGTCTGTCCTTGGTATCCCTCATAATGTACTATAATTTGTTCTGGCTGGTTACAGGCATTGAGGTTCTCTGTAGGGTTTAGACTGTTTATTGTAGGTAGTAGGTACTTATTCACTATTTCCTAATTGTTTTTTAATTATTCGTACTAATAAATGTGAAAATAAGTGTGACCATTAATGCGATTATATAACATAACGTTTTAAGGCCTCTGCCTACGTCTGTACACGTAATAGGTAATGAGCCTATTGGCATACACTGAGCACAATTTCAGACTCCATGCTACGACTAAGAATTTCTTTTTTAAAAACCCAGTAATACTTTGCCCGACTCGGGATTCGAACCCGAGATCCTATCCCCGGCAGTCGCACTTACGACCACTCGGCCAACGAGGCAGTCGAGGCAGTCAATGCGATTACTTTTTCATAAAACAACATCAGAGGTACAAGTGCATTGAGAACTATTTAAAAACAATAAAAATTACTACCAATTGATAGAGTCAAGCTTTAAAAGTTAATCAAAATGCAGTTTCATTATTGAGTAAAAGTTTATTTTGAAACGAAAATTGTATAATACAATATTCTGGTAAACCTGAAAAAGAAATTTTCTGTTACTTTCAATTTGTAAAAAAAACAATAAAGTAAAATATTTACATTTATAAGAGCAGCGTGAGAGCAGCACATTGATTAATTATAATAAAAATTAATTGACCAAATATATTGGACATAAAATATTATTAAACCCATTCAGGGTGGAATTTTGTAATACCATTCCTTTATTTTTGAAAAGAAAGAAATATACATAGTTAAATTTTAAAAAATTCGCTTGCCACGCTTGGTAATTGACCCGACTAAAATCTGCAAAGGCTGCAACTTTTACAGATTTTAATCAAAGGTCAAGGGAATGTTATTTTTGAGATTTTTTTTTATCTAAACTATTCGCAACACTCACAGTTGCATAATTTACAATGGAATATAATGCATAGGTATTAGTAGTATTAGTAATGGGAGCTACCGTTATTTGTTCACAAAATGGCGCAAATGTAGGAAGAGGTGTTTTATATTCAATCACAGCAGCTGTCAAATATCGAACGTCCAATAATGTGCAACTAGTTCGTTCCCTATCGGCCCAAGTACAAGAGGGTTGCGCTAACGTTTAGTGAGCCAAAATACGATGATTATAAAATAATTGTTTTAATCTCTACATACATTTTACTGTGGACCATTATAGAATCCGTTAAACAACATGACTTGTTTCCTACGATTGAGTATGGAGAACACAAACGGCCGATTCGCATTGAAGGAGAGCATATTTTTATGTTGAGACATCTTCAAACCAGCTACCACAACTAGAATATAAAATACGACAATAAGTTTAATCAATGAAAAAAGGAAATCGATCTTATAGTAGCACAGGAATATTCAGTTGATGTTCTCGTTTATTTTAGTAAATATACTAAATTAAATATTTTACTTAATTTACTATCGTCAATATACCCCCGGTGTTACTAGTAAGTATATTGATGTCGAACCGGTGATACTCCCGGTGCTACTAGTATATTGATGTCAAAGCAGTGTTACCTCCGGTGTTACTGGTATATGTATTTATGTCGAATCGGTGATACCCCCGGTGTTACTAGTATATTGATGTCAAAGCAGTGTTACCCCCGGTGTTACTGGTATATATATTTATGTCGAACTGGTGATACTCCCGGTGCTACTAGTATATTTATGTCGAACTGGTGTTACCCCCGGTATTACTAGTATATTTATGTCTAACAGGTTTGACTAGCATATTGATGTCGATGACTACTAGACTATTAGCTTTCTAATTCCTCTGCAAAGACATTGTCGATTGTGTCACAAAATGTATTTTGTAAGTATAACACAATTTTAATCACTAGTAAACATACCTGTGGCAGCAGCTGCTTCAGTGTGCACTTCATCAACAATAATACGAGCTACCTGTAGCGCGTCAGTAACGTAAATAGACTGTTTGTTTTCTAAAATATCTTCAAGTCCTGTCGTACCCGATTGAAATACAGCGGTGACGCCGTTCTAGAAAGTTGAAACGCTTTATTTTTCTTTTGAATTGTTAAAAGCAAAATAAGACTAAACTATGGGCTCTATGTCTGGAAGAAATGGCGGAATGGCAGCAACGACTGTCGCAACCGAGGGCAGGGCTCGCTGCCAATGCGGACGCGGACGTCCCCTCTTTGAGGAGTGGCTTGAGAGACGCTACGGCGTCCTCATCTACCGCCTGACGCAGGTCCTCACCGGACATGGAACTTTCGGGAGGTACCTGTGTCTGATGGGGCGGGAGGAAACGCCCAGGTGTCATCATTGCGAGGACACGGTGGAACACACGGTGGGGGAATGCCCTGCGTAGGCTGAGCATCGCCATGCCCTCAGGAACGTGATCAGCGATGGCGACTACTCACGTCCGGCCCAAGTGCGGGTCATGATGCGGAGCGAGGGGGACTAGGATGCCGTCTCCTCCTTTAGCGAAGCAGTCATGCTAGCTAAGGAGGAGGCGGGACGCGTGAGGCAGCGAAGCGCTGCCTCCTCGCAACCCGGCCACCGCGAAGAATACTCCGGGCGTCGGGGATCGCGGAACGATCTCCGGCCACCGTAAGCACGGGCCTGCGGACGGCAAGCATGGGTGGCTCACCGTCTGACCAGAACCAGACCCTATCATACGGCGCGTCGCCATCGCAGAAGGGGCCCAACAGGGCTGATGCCGATTCGAAGCCGCGGAGAACCTAACGGGTTACCGGGACTCCGCATCGTAGCGCAGGAAAAGGAACGGGGTGGTTTTTAGTCAGTAAGAGTCTGACACTCCCTTCCGCCTCACCCAGGCGGGAGCAGGCATTCGATGATTTTACGTAAAAATCAAAAATGACGGGAAGAATGAAGTAAAACTAAATGAACAGAGTGCCTATTGCGATGCGAAACTCATCATTCATCTGCTGAGCAAAGCCTCTTCTCACACGGAGAAGGTTTGAGCATTAATCACCACGCTTGCTCAATGCGGGTCGGTAACTTACACAATATGTTTCGTATAAAACATCATACTTTATATTATTTATTGATTATACTAAATATCAGCATACTTTTCATCCTTGGAGGGGTAGCCAAAGGTGCACATTAAGGCAGTTAATGCCACTGTACGATGTAACACCCACTTTCCACTATTTATGTTATAAGTCCTATGTAAGGGGTGAGCGTATTGCTATCGAGATTTGGCAGAAATACTACTGAGAATTTTTTTTAAGTTTGATCGACTCGCCAATATATCGCCCGACTCGGGAATTAAATCCGAGAACCCTTGCCCGGCAGTCCCATTTGCGACTATTCAGCCAACGAGGCAGTCAGACAGACCACACTTTACAAATCAAAAAAATCATGAATTTCGCTAAATGTACACTACCGTACCTTCTTTAGTACATCCTTTAAGTCTATTCGGCTTGTTAGTTCGAATTTTGGTATTCTGACTTCAATTTCGGTAGGAGAAAGGTTTTCCATCACGTAAATAACAAAATCTGGGTCACTCAGACTTTTTGCAATATTCAACAAGTTATTTGCGTCATTTGGTAGAATAGTTAAAAAACTAATATCATTTCCTACGTAGAACATTTCCAGGACCTATAAATGAAAAGAAAATATGTAGTATAAGTTGTTATATTAATGAAAATAATATTAAAATTGGTTCCATAAATTTTCGGATCTATTCAATGCTAACAAACAAAATAAAAACCTTCTTTATGATATTTGTGTAGTTGTAGGTTAAAATTATAGACACCGTAGCCACGTATTTTTTTAAATAAACCGTCTTAAACTAGGATTTATCCTAGTAATCAATAAATAGTAGTAGTAATAAATCCTAGTATGTCAGATGACAATCCTTTATAAAGTCACATCACCTAGGTACGGAACTACAATTTGTGGATCCCTCAGAGTCGTTCCGTGTGGAAATCGAATCCGCCACGCGTTGTTTGCCGAGTAGAGAGTAGCCCAGCAAACAGACAGTTTATTGTTATTACTACGGTCAGTATTCATCTTTACCGACTTCAAAAAAAGGAGGAGTGGGTGGGTAACCTATCAATACTAATAATATCTAGTTATGTTTTGCTTTTTAGTTGTTAACTTTATGTGTCAAAGTCAAAGTCAAAGCATTTATTTCAATTAACTCGTCGAGTACCGGTTTTATAGACACAATTAAAGAACAATAGGTCGCGGTCACCGGTGACCGCTTGGTGTTTGACAGTTTAAACCATAATTTGGTACTTTTGTAACGTCAACGAATACAAAATCAAATAATAGTTTGTCAGTCAGTCCGTCAGTGAAGCTAGGTGAAGCTAGGTGCTCATTCCAAAATGTAGATTCGAATGGAGGAGAACAAGCAAGAAACTGTATTCGTTACTACAACGCAACGGTGTCGCACCACACACTTCCCATCTGTTAGAAGTGGCGGGCGAACGTTCCCTTGAGCGGTTACACTTACTATAAACAAAGTTGTTTTATTATAAATTTCCAATTTCAAATCAGTGAACATCACATTATTTAAAAAAAAGTATGTTCTACAATGTCTCTGATACATATTCCCATACATGTGAAAACAATGCAAAGACGCGCTTGACGCATTATAGGCACTAATAACAAACCTTTTTATGTTTGTTAACTTAATAAAGTTGTCAATAATAATATCATTAGGATTACAAACCTGGAAGTCTGTATGTGCATAGTAGTTAAAATCATTCGTTTGGTACATCATTTTCACTGTGACTTGATCCCCATTGACTTTTGTAAAATGCGTTTCAAACGTTGAATGTACGCTAAACGGATATAACCAATCAGCCTGAAAGGTGTAAAAAAATATTATGGTAATGTTTTTTAGAAAGTGGCTCAAATATCTCTTTTGAATCGTGACGATGTTTTCATTTTGTTTTTTTTTTTATTGATTTATTTACACATCTGTATGACATACGCTGGCGGACTTATTTTATTTGTATTTTACTAAGTTATGGTGCAAACAAAATGCTTTTCATCCTTTTTCTTTTATAGTACCGTACTTAAATTAAGTCTGCTATTGTGTCTGGTATTATAGCTCATCCCCAATCCGGTACAGATCATAGGTACGATGCGATATTATTGCCCGTAATATTTTTAATAGATTTCCAACAAAGATACACCTATATGCTAAAATATAATGCACTAGACATAATGGATATGTGTTCCTTCATTTATAGGGAATCACATCAAGTTAAATCTAATAATTGATAAAATTGATTTATAATACTGTTTAAAATATAGATTTTCTGGATCACCCGATGGTAAGCAATGACGTCGTCCATGGATACCCGGAACACCAGAGTCGTTACAAATGTGGCCAATATTGCGGATTATTAGGGATTCAGGTTTATTATCTAGAATATTAATATTATCTTACCGCTAAGCTTATAGCGTTAGCCAGGACGAGACGGGTATTTGAGTTGAACATCTTCGGAGTCACGATGTTTGTTATCATATCATCAGTCTTCTTTGCTACCTGTTTAGGAACAGTTAGAAAGAATAATCCTTGTATCCTTGGTAAGATTATTGTACTATTCATTGTAACATAACATAGCATCACGCCGTTTTATCCCCGAAGGGGTAGGTAGGCACAGGTGCACATCATGACATTTAATGCCATTGTACAATGTAACACCCACTTTTTCATTATTTTTGTTATGAGTCCCATGTAGGTAAGGGTGAGCCTATTGTTAACACACACTAATATTATAAAATAATGTGAAAGTTTCTTTGTTTGGATGTTTGTCCCTCAATCACGCTGGAACTACTGAACGGAATTTGATAAATTTGGTATACAGGTGTAATACTTTTTATCCCGATTAAATGCTTCTATAGGATAAAATAGGAATCATACTCTTTGCGGACGAAGTCACGGGCAACAGCTAGGGTTAAAATAAGTATAACGTGTTTTAAAAGAATTATGAAAAGCGTTTTCATTGCAATATTGCTTAAACCCAACAGGTTATGGGCAATTTTTATATGTGTACTATAAAGTTCAGTTCAGGAATTACGTTTAATCATTCTATTCAACATTAAAATTTAATGAAAATAAGTAATTTTATCACTTACCCATTTATTTATATTGTCAGCGGCCAAGTCATTTTTGCTGAAGTCAAGAGTTTCCCCATCGGCATCGAAATATGTTTTTGAGTCACTTATAAAGTTTTGACTCAGTGGACTGCCTATGTTTGCGTAAAACTTAGTAGCTATAGTCATTGTTACATTTTTTGGACGTTTAAGTTCAGCAACTATTAGAGGTAATGCACCTGTTATCTAAATTATAATAAAAAATACGATTAGTAATGTTTCCGTCGTATTACAGGTGGCAAACGAGCAAACGCATGGCGGATGCTCCGGACGAACTATTTATCTAGAACTATATAAAAAAAAAAAAATATAGTAATTTTAGTAACTATAGAAGTAAGAAGTTTTTTTAATATTTTTGTGGCCTCAATGGTTGGGTATCGCTATCCTGTCTCGGATTTGAACCCTCGGTTGTGTGAAGTATCGATGGTGTTACGATTTTCAAACGCTTACATTCTATTCCATTTTCTCATTCTGAGAAGTAAAATTTCCATAAACGCAAGCTACTGTTTGATTGCTCTATCATTTTCGCGGTGCCCTGGGAACGATGAAGCAATTAAACAGTTCCCATATTATCTACAACGCTTTTATGATACCTCTGTTATAAGCGGTGTGTATTTAGGTGACTGCTTACCATCAGGCCGAACGCTAATCTATTGCAACCAATTAACAGAAGTATGTAAAAAATATTAAACATACACGTATTTATCTTCAGGTGGGGAATCATATCGGATTTTAATATTATGCGAGAGTAAAACATAACATACCTGGTCTTTATTCTGAACATTCAGGAGCTTAAGCAGCTCTTCTAAAACCAGTCCTTTGGAAAATACAGCAAGTTGTGCAAAAGGTAGCAACGCAGACAGACTAGATACAATGAAGCTTTCATCTGGTTTTTGAGAGAGCAGTTCCTAATGAGAAATAAGTATATTAATTAAAATTAATTATTTATCATTATTTTTACTATTGGACCATTAATGTCCACTGACTGCTAAGTAAACGCCTTACCACGCTTGCTCAAAGCGGATTGGCGATTTCAAACTTAGAATTTGAAACTGGAGGCCCAGTTTTCCTCACAATATTCACATCTATGTCAGTGGTATCGAATTATTATGAGAAAGTACATTATTATCTTTATATATTTAACTAGCGGACCCGACAGACGTTGTCCTGCATATCCACTTGAATGTATAAACAAAAAATCATTCAAATTAGTTCAGCCGTTTTATTTATTTATCCTAAACAGCTGAACTAATTTGAATGAATTTTTGTTTATACATTCAAGTGGATATGCAGGACAACGTCTGTTGGGTCCGCTAGTATAACTATAAAAAAGTCATACCGGGCAGGCACCTTAACGGACTACATAGATGACCAATCATTTATTGAGTACATTGATGGGTGAATAATTATTATTGTGTTAGAAATGATAAAGTGCCCAATAAGTAGATATAGAAAGCATAGCCAATAGGTACTTACGTGTGCAAGTTTTCCTGCGAAAATTTGGTTGCCTGTACTTAGCTGAGCATGTAGAAAACTGTCCATTGCAGATATGCCGTTTCCTGATAAAAATATTAAAATGTATATAAAAAATGACATTCAGAGTAATCTTAAGTAGCAGGGCGAGCTGCCGCGTCGCGGGGCGCGGAATGCAGCTTATGAATATGAGCCACTAGCATGGCTTGAAACTAGTCGAGATCGTCGTCAAAAAGTTAAGTGAGTAAGCCTAAAACATAATAATTAAAGTGTAATATTTCTAACATTTAAAAATATAACATTATTCCACACTGGGATTTTCCTGTATCATTGCGTTAACAAACATAATTATAGTTAATTGAAATTGTAGACATAATTTATTGTTGTAGTTATAATTCTCAATTTTCGAAAAAAAAACGTTTGTCTGATAAATTTAGGATTTTTTAGATCTCGGTTTAATTAACTAAACATTGTCATCTATACTAATATTTTAAAGAGGAAATATTTTAATTTTTGTTTGTTAGTTCGTTTGAATTGAATAGACACCGAAACTACTTCATGGACGGTTTTAAAAAAATCTTTTACCATTGGAATCCTACATTAATCCCGAACACAATAAAGCTAAGTGATGTATTATAATCTTATAAAGGACATTAATATCCATATAATATAATATCCATAATAACTATTAAGTTAGACGTATGATATTGCAGACTTTGCTCAGTTATTATGGCATAACTGTAATAAGTTTGAGGTAGTTTGAGTATTGGGAAAACATGTGTGTTAGTTTTTATCCCGAAAATCCCAAGGAAACGGGAAGGATTCAAGGTCCGGGACTCTCTATCTTAAACCACTGTAATTATTTGATTTAAATTCGGTACAAAAATGGTTTGCGACCTCGAAAAGGACTTAGAATTAGAGGTATTTTTATTGCTGAAATCTCACGGAAACGGGCACTGTATGGGCTAAACCCATATCATTTCATAATTACATATATATTTAAGGACTGAATCGATTCTGATGACATTTGTTACAGCCATAGAATATGCCTTGAAAAAGATTAATTCATAAATCCAAATTTGTCTGAAGTCATTATTCTACGCGGGCGAAGTCGTGGGCAGTACAACTAGTAGGTACACATAATAATACAAAACCCCATTAATAATTTCATGCAAACAGTATTTGAATACTTTTCTATTATATCAGCATATTTTGATTTAAAGTATTTGTACAATCTATAAATTGCTACTGCTGACCAAAAGCCTCTACTCGCACGGATACTGTTTGAATTAATTACCATGCTTGTTCAATACGGATTGGCGATTTTAAACTTATAATAGATTATTATAAGTCTAGGTTTCCTCATCATTATCACGGTCACCGAGGTGAGTAGAACCGTCGTCGCGCGGTGTTCCATAGGGTTCGGTTTTGGGGCCGCTCCTGTGGAACATCGGTTATGACTGAGTGCTCCGCACCGACCTCCCGAACAACGTCAGCGTGGTTTGTTACGCTGACGACACATTGGTGTTAGCACACGGGAGGTCGCATCAGGCGGCGGCTAATTTAACGGCGAGAGCGGTTACGACTGTCGTTGAAAGAATCCGGCAACTGGGACTCGAGGTGGCGCTCCACAAGTCCGAGGCCATGTGTTATCATGGCCGCGGGAACGCGCCACTTCCGGGTGAGTCCCAATTAATGGCGGGAGGAGTTACTATCGGCGTCGAGACGACGATGAAGTACCTAGGACTCGTCCTCGACAGTCGGTGGAACTTCGTGGACCGACGTTTGGCTCCTAAGTTGGAAAGGACGGGGGCGGCGTTTAAGCGCCTCCTACCCAACCTCGGGGGGCCAAACACCTTCTGCCGGAGGTTATACGCCGGGGTCGTGCGGTCCATGGCCCTCTTCGGCGCCCCTATGTGGGTGCCGAACCTGATGCGGCGGCCCGCTCGGACGCTGCTCACATCACAGAGGGTCATGGCGATTGATACGCGGATATCGCACGATCTCCGGGGAGGCGGCGAACCTCCTTGCTGGATTACCGCCGTGGGATCTGGAGGCGAAAGTGCTCGCGCGCGTATTTTTTTTTGCGTACGGAGGCACGTCTCCGGGGCGAAACTCCGCTGCCGCGCCAGATTAATGCGTGGCGGGATGAACTCCGGCGTGATCTCATGGCGGAATGGCAGCAACGACTGTCGCAACCGAAGGCTGGGCTCGCTGTCATAGCAGCGGTAAGTTCCCTCTTTGAGGAGTGGCTTGAGAGACGCTACGGCGTCCTCACTTACCGCCTGACGCAGGTGCTTACCGGACACGGGAGTTTCGGTAGGTTCCTGTTTCGGATTGGGCGGGAGGAAACGCCCGGGTGTCATCACTGCGAGGATCGCCCGGAGGACACGATGGAGCATACGGTGGCGGTGTGTCCTGCGTGGACTGAGTACCGCCGTGTCCTCAGGAATGTGATCGGCGACGGCGACCTCTCGCGTCCGGCTCTGGTTCAGACCATGGTACGAAGCGAGAGGGACTGAGATGCCGTCTCTTCCTTCTGCAAAGCAGTCATGCTAGCTAAGGAGGAGGCGGAGCGCGTGAGGGAACGAACCTCCACACGACCCGGCCGTCACGAGAGACACTCCGGGCGTCGGGGATCGCGAGACGAACTCCGGCCACCGTAAGCACGGGCCTGCGGACGGCGAGCATGGGTGACTCGCCGCCCGACCAGAACCAGGGTGCTTACTCTTGAAACCAATCTCAATATCAATGCAATTTCAATCCAATAAAATCTCAATAATTATCCAATGTCAAAACTATACAACCTCTATCGTAGCTGCTAAAGTAGCATTCAGAGTACGAAATATAAAACCTAATTCAAAACCAATTAGTTCATGAAATATCCACGCAATACGAATGCAATAGGCGCTAATGTTACAACTCAAGAGTACGAAATTTCACAATGTCAATGTCGATCGATCGGAATTGGATTCAAGAGTAAGCACCCAGGCCCGAGCGTACGGCGCGTCGCGTTCCGCGCGCGCCTCAAGGAGCCACCAGACCACCACAGACGGAGCCGCGGAAGACTTAACGGGTTGCCGGGGCTCCGGCTCGAAGTGCAGGAATAGGAACGGGGTGTTTTTTAGTCAGTAAGAGTATGACACTCCCTCCCGCCTCACCCGGGCGGGAGAAGTCATTGGATGACTTTCCCCCTAAAAAAAAAAAGGTTTTCTCATCATGTTTGCCAGTGATGTCTAAATAATCTGTAATATTACATATAATTCGGAGGAGTCACATTGGTACTCGATGTTGATAGATGTCAAACCCGCATCCTTTGAGAAGCATCTTAGGTAAGCCTCCAGGATCCCACAACTGGTTTTACATACTTAATAAACATGGATAATGATAAAGTGTTATAAATAATTGATTATCTAATATAAATGCCTAGTAATTTTATCGACTTTAAATAATATTCGTATACAAAGTGATTTTAAATTGATTTCGTGGTTGGTATGTTTAACTGAAATTGAATTTATTGGGTACGGTTCGGATTTGAAGTGATTGTATTAGTTAATATCATGAAAAATAGTTTTCAATTAGTGTAACGTTTATGGATAAGGATTTTAAATACGTAGGCAATACTGATATTTTTTATAAATATTAAAACAATAGCTTTTGTTTAGGGCTATTTTTTAAGATTGGAAAATTATTAAATTACTTCGTCTGCCTGGGTGAGGCGGGAGGGAGTGACAGACTCTAACTGACTAAAAACCACCCCGTTCCTACTCCTGCAATTCGAGCCGGAACCCCGGAAACCCGGTAAGTTCCCCGCGGCTCCGTATTGGCATCAGCCGTATTGAGCCCCATTCGTGGTGGCCTGATGGCTCATTGAGGCGCGCGTGGAACGCGACGCAGCGCACGCTCGGGTCTGGATCTGGTCGGGCGGCGAGCTATCTATGTTCGCCGTCCGCAGGCCCGTGCTTACGGTGGCCGGAGATTGTCTCGCTATCCCCGACGCTCGGAGTGTCTCTCGCGACGGCTGGGGCGTGAGGAGGTTCGTTCCCTCATGCGCCCCGCCTCCTCCTTAGTAAGCATGACTGCTTCGCAAAAGGAGGAGACTGCATCCCAGTCCCCCTTACTCCGCATCATGACCCGCACTAGGGCCGGACGCGAGAGGTCGCCATCGCCGATCACGTCTCTGAGGACACAGCAGTGCTCAGCCCACGCACGGCATTCCACTAGCGTGTGTTCCACCGTGTCCTCAGGGTGGTCCTCGCAGTGCTGACACCCGGGTGTTTCCACACACCCATCAGACACAGGTACCTCCTGAAGCTCTCATGTCGGATGAGGACCTGCGTCAGACGGAATATGCTGCCATTCCGCCATGAGATCGCGCCTGAGCTCTTCCCGCCACGCAGTAATCAGGCGCAGTTGCAAAGTTTCGCCCAAGCGACGTGCCTTCGCGCGCAGACACAACACGCGCGCGAGCTCCTTCGCCTCCAGATCCCACGGCGGTAATCCGGCAAGAAGGTTCGTCACCTCCTCGGATATCGTCTGGTATCCGCGGATCATTCAGATCGCCATGACCCTCTGTGACGTCAGCAGCGCCCGAGCAGGCCGCCACATCAGGTTCGGCGCCCACACAGGGGCGCCGTAGAGGGCTATGGACCACACGACCCCGGCGTATAACCTCCGGTTTGTTTGGGGCTTAGCTTGTTTTAAGGGCCAAACCCCTTAAAACAGGGTAGATGAAATAAAAACACTATGCACTAATTTTATGCTACTCACAAATAGACCACATAGGTACCAATTATTAGCTATTTGCGAAATGTACCATACAAACTACCACCCCCGATTTTACAGCCTGGCCACGAGGATTGGCGTTGTGAACGGCAGAGCGGCGGGCGACGCGCCTATTCGCGCGGCGGGGCGTGGAACTTAGAACCAATTTTAGCCAACCTCATAAACAAACAAAGCTAACCAACAATAAAATCATAATGAACTTTCGTTTTCCTGAATTTTGGCTACCGGAGATTCCGGACGACAAAAATATTCTAAGGCCCCGTACTGATCCATTCCTTTGTTTCACTCGCTGGTGCAATTAACTCGTCGAGTACCGGTTTTATAGACACAATTAAAGAACAATAGGTCGCGGTCACCGGTGACCGCTTGGTGTTTGACAGATTAATATTTCGGTACATATCGCCGGTCGCCGCTGTCCTGGGCTTGATCAGTACATTTCCATATGCTTGTTTCATTCGCTTGTGGGGGGTAAGAAAGAGACTAAAAGTAGCCAATTTCTCCATCATTTCTACTGTAACCACTTAAAAATCACGTTAATTGGTTACTGCATTTTGCCGTGAAAGACGGATAAACAAACAAACACATCTTTTCACATTTATAATAGTATAGTATGGAAGGTATTTAGGCAATAATAAACACGGGCCTGCGGACGGCGAGCCCGGGTGACACGCCACTCGACTAAAACCAGACCCGTGCGTACGGTGCGTCGCGTTCTGCTCGCGCCTCAAGGAGCCATCAGACCACCGCAGACTGAGCCCAATAAGACTTATGCCGATACGGAGCCGCGGAGAACTGAACGGGTTACCGGGGCTCCGGCTGCAAGTGTAGGAGTAGAAACTGGGTGGTTTTTAGTCAGTAAGAGTCTGACACTCCCTCTCACCTCACCCGGGCGGGAGAAGTTATTGGATGATTTTCCCTACTTATAAAAAGAGGCAATAATAAAAGTATTGTATAAGAAATACAAATATTAAGTACATGTTAATGGAAATAACGCATATTATTATGTTAATTTCAAAGTAATTAATAAGACAGATTTAGGAGGTTGCCCAACAAGTTTTAAGCCACGATAACGACTTGTACTCGACAGCAAACTGTGTGATGAGTAAAGTAGACACGGTTAAATCGTAACAAATCTATGATGGCTAGAAACTAGCCAAAGAACAGCTTCAAATAGTTACATCAGTTAATTGAACGCAAACATTCTAATCTAAATCTATAAAAGAAAAAGAGAACTATGAATTAAAACTAATAATTAAGTAAATTAATGAAATCTGTCAATCATTGTATTATTTAACATATATTGTAATTTTATAACACACAAAATAATAATAAAATGAATAAAATATTATATATTTAATAACATATATAGAGATAGTTTTAAATTACTATTCTTTTATAAAAGTACAAAACAAAAATAAAAGAAGAATACAGTCCTTCTTGTACAAAATATGGTCGGTAAAAATAAAATCACCATTAGCATTGATAAATTTTGGTAAATTACAATTTGAAAAAAATAATAGACTAGATAAAACTATGATATTTACCGTGACACACAAGAACAACAGTTGCTACTATCAAATGAAACAATTTGAACATTGTCTTCTTTTTCAAAATACGTCCCATCTTGTCAAATAATATCTACAGAAAAAAAACAGTTCGAATGGGTCTCAAACTTTTATTTTAATACAATGGCAACAAACATTAAACTATCAAGTATTTATAATGGAAGCTGTTCATGCTCAATTGCATTTACACATTATGTTTAGGGATCCGTGCTCTACAACTTGAATAACTTGACAAGGTTTAAATTTGATTATATAAAGTCAAGATGGAGTGTCAGTTCACGAAGAGCGTCACAAAAATTTGCAGTGAACTTGCAATGGACTTTCCCGTCACGTAGTACCAATAGTGTCACCTTGGTGTTACTACGTGAATGCACGATACAAAATAAAGTAAACAAAAAAAACTACACTGCAAAAATAGCGATATGCTCCATAAAATTGTGCTAAAATTATAAATGACGGTTAGAAAGTATACTAATCAGATCATTTATTCATTGCGGTGATTCCGCAAGGGCGTCCCTGGTCACGGCCACAGGTAAAGGAGGAACACCGCGATGGTTTTAGCCGATAAGAGCCCGGCACAAACCCAAGTCGCCCCCACCACGACGTGGAAAGTCCAAGAGGATTGCCACCGCGTTATATATAAAAAAAAATATCCATCGCTAAGTAATTAGAAACTACATTATTCGATTTATGTTTTTGACCTAACTAATTGACGCCAAACCTTATCAGTGTTGCCAATTTATTTTTTAATATTCCCTTCTCATGAGTCTAGTCATAAAGAGGGATAAATGGACAAAAATATCTTACTGCCTTGCAAATTAAAAATAAATAATAAATTAAATAATTTACAGGCGAATGACGTAGTCTAACTATTCACCGCAATTTTTAAACTCACTGGACTTGCCAGGATTTCCACTTCACAATCTTCAATTAAAGGTTGAATTGATTGTTATAATATTGCGAACTATCAACCAACCGCGTCTTTACAACGAAACACGGTTAGCGGTACAAAATTACTAAACAACGCGATAGAAGCAACTATACTCAAAGGAAAGTATAAAGGAGAGGTTGTTCTTATACCGCGCATCCCAATGATTCTAATTGATGTGCCATTTCAGTTTAAATGACTACAATTTCTAGTGCGACTTGCTTTTGCTATGACCATAAACAAGTCCCAGGGGCAATCATTAAGTGTTTGTGGTATTAATCTGGAAAACCCATGTTTCTCACATGGTCAATTATATGTTGCCTGTTTCCGTGTTAGAAACCCTTCAGATTTGTTAATAGATGCGAAAGGTAACCAAACAAAAAAATATCGTATATCATAAAGTACTACAGTAATGATAAAACTGTTTTTTGTTAATAATTCTGATTTACAAGATTAACAATAAAGCGATTAGTTTTAAATCTTTATAATAATTATGTTTTATTTAATTATTTTTTATTTACCACACCCTATCACTAGGGTGACGGTTCTGTTCAGGAGATTTTTTTGCCCCGACTATAGCGAATACTATACCGAAAAAAATAAACTACACATTTAAAAAAATAACCGTCTTATATAAAATCATTAAATAGAGCAACGTCTTCGCTATTAACTGTCCGCCATCTTCAATCAATCTCAATCATACTCCGTTCGGATTCATTCATTCAACATTTTAGGTTACTTTACCAAGTATTCAGATACACACATACAATCCCACATGAATGACGGAGTATGAGTAAATGGGGGTAAGTTTCAAGAATTTGCCTGTCAGTAAGTCCGGTGACTAGAGTCTCAGTTTTATTTTGTCTGTTTATGATTGATCTGTTGTCAAAAATCTATCTCTATTACGCAATATTGTAAGGCTGGCAGTTTGGCAGTAAATAAAGAACTCACAATGAAAAACATTTATTTTATGTTATGTATGGGTCCTTTGACGACCTCAGTTCGCAACTTCTCATTTAGTTAATAATAATATTTTTAAGTATTATTAACTACAATGTTCGGGGCGGACACATAGTCCTACGTTGCTATCAAATATGAAGCCTTTTCTGCAGCTACATGCATTAAATCTACAAATAGCTGGACATATGTTGCCAAAAGACTTATATTGATTCTTGACGTCGAAGCACGTAGGATCACATTGCCTACCACAACTTGGTTCTGCATTTGGATCACCTCCGCACGATGCTGCAAGAATGAAGATATACTTTAATAGTTTTGTGCGGTAAGATAATATAAGTAACTTGTATCAGAAACGTAAATATTAAAAGCTAGTTTGGGCCAGGTACCTATATTATAATACTCTTTGTGGATAGTGACGAGAATAATGCCATAAATCGGTCACAATTACCGATACTGGAAATTTTGAAAAGTATTTAAAAAAATATTTTAAATGTGGGCTTTACAGTGATGCTTATGGCATCTCCAACAACAAGATCAATTTTGTGTGCCTTTCAAATTAAATTTCTAAACCAAAGTAGTTAAATACTTACGGCAATTTCCCATAGGAATACATTTGCCAGTATCATCCCTTACATAGCCGTGTTTACACACGAATTCAGGTACTCCTTGACACTTGGCCTTGATTTGATCTGGATCTTCCCGTGTTGGACAGTCGATGGAAAAACCCAACTGGGAGCAGTATTGTGGAGTGCATAGAAAGTTCATACATTCAGAGAGCTTTTCTTCATTTTCATCAATACAATGTACTATAAACCAAAGAATGCGAGTTGAAATATTATTGTATCATTGTTTCTGGGTCTTGGGTGATCAAATAAAAGCTACTTGGAAGAAAGTGCATTTGCGAATTTAGCTAAGAAAAAAATTTAAAGGGTAAAATAAGGAGATTTCGACATATTGGCATTGATCAATTTTGATAAAATACAGTTCTAAAAAAGATATTTGAATAACTATGATATTTACCGTGACACACAAGAACAACAGTTGCTACTATCAAATGAAACAATTTGAACACTGTCTTCTTTTTCAAAATACGTCCCATCTTGTCAAATAATATCTACAGAAAAATCAGTTGGAATGGGTCTCAAACTTTTATTTTAATACAATGTCAACAAACATTAAATTATCAAGTATTTATAATGGAAGCTGTTCATGCTCAATTGCATTTACACATTATGTTTAGGGATCCGTGCTCTACAACTGTGAATGAGTTGACAAGGTTCAACTGTCCGCTGTTTTCTAGCGGGAATTTTGAAACCGAACGGAATGAGGTATCTATGTATTCCTACTTTAGGATCTCACTTTATCCATGTGCTCAAAACTCTACTACCAATATTATAAGGTTTAAGAGATTGTTTGTCAGAATGTGCTAATCTCTGGAAAAATAAATATTGAATGAACAGGAGCCGAGTAGCAGTGGGTGTCACCGCGTGGGAGTAGGTAGATGGATATACATATACCTACTTATATAATACATAGGTCCAGTGACTAGAGTCAAGGTTTTATTTTGTCTGTTTTTTATTGATCTGTTGTCAAGAGTCTATCTCTGTTACGCAACATTATAAGGTTAGCAGTAAATAAAGAAGTCACGAAAAAAAAATTTGAATGTAATGCACGGATCCTTTGACGGAATAAATTAATGAATGGCATCAGTACGTCACTTATCATATTATGATAAATAATTATGTTTTTTTTAATTATAATTTACTAATGTCGACGATTAAAAGGCTAATTGATTTAAGCTAATTTTTTACGCTATTGAGTTGTAATAGGATTTATATGAAAAAATTCAAATGAACGTATGATAAAAAATCCTTATTTTTGCATGTATTTTTTATTTGGATTATTCATAAAGACTATTTCATTTAATTCCTAATTTTAAATTCAGATTATTTTAAGAATTGTTTAACAGTCGAAGTAATCACCCATGCAATCAATGCATCTTTGCCAACGCAGTGGCGGTTTATTGATGACCTTCTTAAAGAAATCAGCTGGACGGAAGGTAACAAATAATTCAAAGGCTTTTGTCCTGCCTCTCTGGTATTAAATTTTTTTCCCGCCAAGAAATTATCCAAATTCTAGAAAAAAGTAGTAGTCTACAGGTGCAAGGTCTGGCAAGTAGAGCGGTTGATGGAGATTTTCCAGCCCCAGCTTCTTGCATCTTAGAAACTGTCTGCTGTGCAGTAGAAGGTAGCGTTATCTTGCAGTAGCGGAATCGAGCGATTGACCAATGCTGGTTGGAGATGTGCCGGCACCTCCATCATGTATTCAGTTTTTCGCAGTACACAGTCATCTGCAGTTTTGCTTACCCCGTTTGGTAAGTAGCTGTAACGAATGGCACCGGCGCTCGTCCACTATAAACAATGATCATAATTTTTCAAGGGGTAGGTTTTCGTTTAGGGTATTGATTAGATGCTGAACCAGAATCCAACCAACTTGCTGAGCGCTTGAGGTTATTAAACAGAATCCATTTTCATTGCAGGTAACAATGTGGTTTAATATTTCTTCATTTGTGTATCTGTGGAGCAGTAAGGCATGTCTCGACGCGTACTTCACGCTGGCGATCATAGAGTTCATAGGACACTCATTTGTCAAGGTTTTTTTCTCGTTTGTCACATTATCTGAGCGATCTTTTCTCTACATACTCCAACACCAACTACAATTGTACGAATTGTACACAATAAAAAATTCTAAACATCATCAATAGCCTATAAATGCCCACTGCTGAGCAAAGCCTCTTCTCACACAGAGAAGGTTTGAGCATTAATCACCACGCTTGCTCAATCCGGATTGGCGTTTTCAAACCTATAATTAGAAATTATAAACCCAGGTTTACTCACGATGTTTTACTTCACCGTTTGTCAGAGGTGGCTAGATAATCTTAGAAAGAATATATAACTCGGAAAAAGTCACAGTGCTCTGTTGCTACGCACATATCTGGCATGGCAGCGAAGTTTCGCCCCAGCGACGTGCCTCCGCGCGCAGAAGATATACGCGCGCGAATACCTTCGCCTCCAGATCCCACGGCGGTAATCCGACAAGGAGGTTCGCCGCCTCCCCAGAGATCGTGTGGTATCCGTGGATCATTCGGATCACCATGACCCTCTGTGACGTCGGCAGCGCCCGAGCGGCCCGCCGCATCAGGTTCGGCGTCCTCACAGGGCGCCGTACAGGGCCAAGGACCGCACGACCCCGGCGTATAACCTCTGGCAGGAGGCGTTTGGTCCCGTCCTTTCATAATGAAAACACCCATGTGTTTCATGGCCTCGCGCCGAGGCCATCCTCGGACTTGTGGAGCGCCACTACGAGTCCTAATTGCCGGATTCTCTCAATGACTGTCGCAACCGCGATTGAAAACTCTCAGGCGTCATTTTTCGAGTCTCAAACTATCGTCGTACCAAAAGTCACTCAAATAACTTTAATAGTTTGAAAGATTGCTAGAGAGACCCTGAAGTTTAACGCAGTTCCTACTCCGTGAATTTCCGGAAAAAATCGTCCTTTCCAGTGCCAGTGTCTCAAATTCTCGATGAACCGAATTTCAATCAAATATGTACAGTTATTAATAATATTTATATCAAGCCTCTTTGCATACCTTTTTTTTAAGGAGGGAAATCATTGAATGACTTCTCCCGCCTAGGTGAGACGGGAGTGAGTGTCAGACTGTTACTGACTTAAAACCACCCTGTTCCTACTCATGCACTTCGAGCCGGAGCCCCGGTAAACCGTTCTCCGCGGTTCTCCGCGGATCGTTCGGATCTCCATGACCCTCTGTGACGTCAGCAGCGCCCGAGCGGGCCGCCGCATCAGGTTCGGCGTCCTCACTGGGGCGCCGTAGAGGGCCAAGGACCGCACAACCCCGGCGTATAACCTCCGGAAGGAGGCGTTTAGTCCCCGTCCTTTCCAACTTAGGAGCCAAACGTCGGAAATGCTCCACGAAGTTCGCCGTCTCGACGCCGATGGTAACCCCTCCTGCCGTTATTTGGGACTTACTCGGAGGTGGCGCGATCCCGCGGCGCGCGGCCATAAAACACACGGCCTCGGACTTGTGGAGCGCCACCTAGAGTCCTAATTGCCGGATTCTCTCAATGACTGTCGCAACTATCAAGATTTGTGACCACCAAAACATCGTGCACCAATTTTTTATTATCTTTTGTAAAACTGTCCTCAATTTTTTAAAAGAGCGCGAGTGAAGCTGGTCCATGAATAAAATGTAACTATTCAGTTAATTGAATTCATATTTCTTCCTTAAAATCCCTAATTCTGTTGTGGTTAAATATATTACCTAGAAAACAAGGCAAACAAGTCTCTTGGCAGTGAAACGCTTAAGCAATATAAGGAGATTTTTGGTATATTTTGCACACATCAGGTTACAATGTCGAAATTTTCACACGGTTCCCTTTTTCTCTCGTATTAAATATAGCCTATGATCATCATCGATTATGTAGAATTACAAAAGTAAAAGAATTTTTCAAATCGGTTCAGTAGTTTCGGAGGAGATTCAATTCAAACAAACAAACAAACAACCAAAAATTCATATCTTTCCTCTTTATACTATTAGTGTAAATGTAGATGTAGATTATTACATTGTTCCTTTTCCTTTTCCCTCCCACATTTTTAGCCATGGGCCGGCCGCTAACACCTTTTCGAAGATAAACCTAAGTTTAGTTGTCTAATCATAATGAATGACGGAGTATGAGTAAATGGGGGTAAGATTCAAGAAGTTTAAGTCGGTGACTAGTCTCAGTTATAATTGGTCTGTTTATTATTGATCTGTTGTCAAAAATCTATCTCTATTACGCAATATTGTAAGGCTGGCAGTTTGGCAGTAAATAAAGAACTCACAATGAAAAAAAATTATTTTATGTTATGTATGGGTCCTTTGACGACCTCAGTACGCAACTTCTCACTTAGTTAATAATAATATTTTTAAGTATTATGAATATTAACTACAATCTTCGGGGCGGACACATAATCCTACGTTGCTATCAAATATGAAGCCTTTTCTGCAGCTACATGAATTAAGTATACAAATAGGTAGACATCCTCCCTTCCGTCCTCTATTTCCCTTGAGGTCGGAACACGTAGGATCACAATGCCTACCACAACTTGATACTGCATTTGGATCACCTCCGCACGATGCTGCAAGAATGAAGATATACTTTAATAGTTTTCTGCGATAATAAAAGCAACCTGTATCAGAAACGTAAATATTAAAAGCTAGTTTGGGCCAGGTATATTATAATACTCTTTGTGAATAGTGACGAGAATAATGCCATAAATCGGTCACAATTACCGATACTGGAAATTTTGAAAAGTATTTAAAAAAATATTTTAAATGTGGGCTTTACAGTGATGCTTATGGCATATCCAACAACAAGATCAATTTTGTGTGCCTTTCAAATTAAATTTCTAAACCAAAGTAGTTAAATACTTACGGCAATTTCCCATAGGAATACATTTGCCAGTATCATCCCTTACATAGCCGTCTTTACACACGAATTCAAGTACTGCTTGACACTTGTCCTTGATTTGATCTGGATCTTCCCGTCTTGGACAGTCGATGGAAAAACCCAACTGGGAGCAGTATTGTGGAGTGCATAGAAAGTTCATACATTCAGAGAGCTTTTCTTCATTTTCATCAATACAATGTACTATAAACCAAAGAATGCGAGTTGAAATATTATTGTATCATTGTTTCTGGGTCTTGGGTGATCAAATAAAAGCTACTTGGAAGAAAGTGCATTTGCGAATTTAGCTAAGAAAAAAATTTAAAGGGTAAAATAAGGAGATTTCGACATATTGGCATTGATCAATTTTGATAAAATACAGTTCTAAAAAAGATATTTGAATAACTATGATATTTACCGTGACACACAAGAACAACAGTTGCTACTATCAAATGAAACAATTTGAACACTGTCTTCTTTTTCAAAATACGTCCCATCTTGTCAAATAATATCTACAGAAAAATCAGTTGGAATGGGTCTCAAACTTTTATTTTAATACAATGTCAACAAACATTAAATTATCAAGTATTTATAATGGAAGCTGTACATGCTCAATTGCATTTACACATTATGTTTAGGGATCCGTGCTCTACAACTGTGAATGAGTTGACAAGGTTCAACTGTCCGCTGTTTTCTAGCGGGAATTTTGAAACCGAACGGAATGAGGTATCTATGTATTCCTACTTTAGGATCTCACTTTATCCATGTGCTCAAAACTCTACTACCAATATTATAAGGTTTAAGAGATTGTTTGTCAGAATGTGCTAATCTCTGGAAAAATAAATATTGAATGAACAAGAGCCGAGTAGCAGTGGGTGTCACCGCGTGGGAGTAGGTAGATGGATATACATATACCTACTTATATAATACATAGGTCCAGTGACTAGAGTCAAGGTTTTATTTTGTCTTTTATTTTTTATTGATCTGTTGTCAAGAGTCTATCTCTGTTACGCAATATTATTAGGTTGGCAGTAAATAAAGAAGTCAAGAAAAAAAAATTTGAATGTAATGCACGGATCCTTTGACGGAATAAATTAATGAATGGCATCAGTACGTCACTTATCATATTATGATAAATAATTATGTTTTTTTTAATTATAATTTACTAATGTCGACGATTAAAAGGCTAATTGATTTAAGCTAATTTTTTACGCTATTGAGTTGTAATAGGATTTATATGAAAAAATTCAAATGAACGTATGATAAAAAATCCTTATTTTTGCATGTATTTTTTATTTGGATTATTCATAAAGACTATTTCATTTAATTCCTAATTTTAAATTCAGATTATTTTAAGAATTGTTTAACAGTCGAAGTAATCACCCATGCAATCAATGCATCTTTGCCAACGCAGTGGCAGTTTATTGATGACCTTCTTAAAGAAATCAGCTGGACGGAAGGTAACAAATAATTCAAAGGCATTTTGTCCTGCCTCTCTGGTATTAAATTTTTTTCCCGCCAAGAAATTATCCAAATTCTAGAAAAAAGTAGTAGTCTACAGGTGCAAGGTCTGGCAAGTAGAGCGGTTGATGGAGATTTTCCAGCCCCAGCTTCTTGCATCTTAGAAACTGTCTGCTGTGCAGTAGAAGGTAGCGTTATCTTGCAGTAGCGGAATCGAGCGATTGACCAATGCTGGTTGGAGATGTGCCGGCACCTCCATCATTGTATTCAGTTTTTCGCAGTACACAGTCATCTGCAGTTTTGCTTACCCCGTTTGGTAAGTAGCTGTAACGAATGGCACCGGCGCTCGTCCACTATAAACAATGATCATAATTTTTCAAGGGGTAGGTTTTCGTTTAGGGTATTGATTAGATGCTGAACCAGAATCCAACCAACTTGCTGAGCGCTTGAGGTTATTAAACAGAATCCATTTTCATTGCAGGTAACAATGTGGTTTAATATTTCTTCATTTGTGTATCTGTGGAGCAGTAAGGCATGTCTCGACGCGTACTTCACGCTGGCGATCATAGAGTTCATAGGACACTCATTTGTCAAGGTTTTTTTCTCGTTTGTCACATTATCTGAGCGATCTTTTCTCTACATACTCCAACACCAACTACAATTGTACGAATTGTACACAATAAAAAAATTCTAAACATCATCAACAGCCTATAAATGCCCACTGCTGAGCAAAGCCTCTTCTCACACAGAGAAGGTTTGAGCATTAATCACCACGCTTGCTCAATCCGGATTGGCGTTTTCAAACCTATAATTAGAAATTATAAACCCAGGTTTACTCACGATGTTTTACTTCACCGTTTGTCAGAGGTGGCTAGATAATCTTAGAAAGAATATATAACTCGGAAAAAGTCACAGTGCTCTTGTTGCTACGCACATATCTGGCATGGCAGCGAAGTTTCGCCCCAGCGACGTGCCTCCGCGCGCAGAAGATATACGCGCGCGAATACCTTCGCCTCCAGATCCCACGGCGGTAATCCGACAAGGAGGTTCGCCGCCTCCCCAGAGATCGTGTGGTATCCGTGGATCATTCGGATCACCATGACCCTCTGTGACGTCGGCAGCGCCCGAGCGGCCCGCCGCATCAGGTTCGGCGTCCTCACAGGGGCGCCGTACAGGGCCAAGGACCGCACGACCCCGGCGTATAACCTCTGGCAGGAGGCGTTTGGTCCCGTCCTTTCATAATGAAAACACCCATGTGTTTTCATGGCCTCGCGCCGAGGCCATCCTCGGACTTGTGGAGCGCCACTACGAGTCCTAATTGCCGGATTCTCTCAATGACTGTCGCAACCGCGATTGAAAACTCTCAGGCGTCATTTTTCGAGTCTCAAACTATCGTCGTACCAAAAGTCACTCAAATAACTTTAATGGTTTGAAAGATAGCTAGAGAGACCCTGAAGTTTAACGCAGTTCCTACTCCGTGAATTTCCGGAAAAAATCGTCCTTTCCAGTGCCAGTGTCTCAAATTCTCGATGAACCGAATTTCAATGAAATATGTACAGTTATTAATAATATTTATATCAAGCCTCTTTGCATACCTTTTTTTTAAGGAGGGAAATCATCGAATGACTTCTCCCGCCTAGGTGAGGCGGGAGTGAGTGTCAGACTGTTACTGACTTAAAACCACCCTGTTCCTACTCATGCACTTCGAGCCGGAGCCCCGGTAAACCGTTCTCCGCGGTTCTCCGCGGATCGTTCGGATCTCCATGACCCTCTGTGACGTCAGCAGCGCCCGAGCGGGCCGCCGCATCAGGTTCGGCGTCCTCACTGGGGCGCCGTAGAGGGCCAAGGACCGCACAACCCCGGCGTATAACCTCCGGAAGGAGGCGTTTAGTCCCCGTCCTTTCCAACTTAGGAGCCAAACGTCGGAAATGCTCCACGAAGTTCGCCGTCTCGACGCCGATGGTAACCCCTCCTGCCGTTGTTTGGGACTTACTCGGAGGTGGCGCGATCCCGCGGCGCGCGGCCATAAAACATACGGCCTCGGACTTGTGGATCGCCACCTAGAGTCCTAATTGCCGGATTCTCTCAATGACTGTCGCAACTATCAAGATTTGTGACCACCAAAACATCGTGCACCAATTTTTTATTATCTTTTGTAAAACTGTCCTCAATTTTTTAAAAGAGCGCGAGTGAAGCTGGTCCATGAATAAAATGTAACTATTCAGTTAATTGAATTCATATTTCTTCCTTAAAATCCCTAATTCTGTTGTGGTTAAATATATTACCTAGAAAACAAGGCAAACAAGTCTCTTGGCAGTGAAACGCTTAAGCAATATAAGGAGATTTTTGGTATATTTTGCACACATCAGGTTACAATGTCGAAATTTTCACACGGTTCCCTTTTTCTCTCGTATTAAATATAGCCTATGATCATCATCGATTATGTAGAATTACAAAAGTAAAAGAATTTTTCAAATCGGTTCAGTAGTTTCGGAGGAGATTCAATTCAAACAAACAAACAAACAACCAAAAATTCATATCTTTCCTCTTTATACTATTAGTGTAAATGTAGATGTAGATTATTACATTGTTTCCTTTTCCATTTCCTCCCACATTTTTAGCCATGGGCCGGCCGCTAACACCTTTTCGAAGATAAACCTAAGTTTAGTTGTCTAATCATAATGAATGACGGAGTATGAGTAAATGGGGGTAAGATTCAAGAAGTTTAAGTCGGTGACTAGTCTCAGTTATAATTGGTCTGTTTATTATTGATCTGTTGTCAAAAATCTATCTCTATTACGCAATATTGTAAGGCTGGCAGTTTGGCAGTAAATAAAGAACTCACAATGAAAAAAAATTATTTTATGTTATGTATGGGTCCTTTGACGACCTCAGTACGCAACTTCTCACTTAGTTAATAATAATATTTTTAAGTATTATGAATATTAACTACAATCTTCGGGGCGGACACATAATCCTACGTTGCTATCAAATATGAAGCCTTTTCTGCAGCTACATGAATTAAGTATACAAATAAGTAGACATCCTCCATTCCGTCCTCTATTTCCCTTGAGGTCGGAACACGTAGGATCACAATGCCTACCACAACTTGATACTGCATTTGGATCACCTCCGCACGATGCTGCAAGAATGAAGATATACTTTAATAGTTTTCTGCGATAATAAAAGCAACCTGTATCAGAAACGTTAATTAAAAGCTAGTTTGGGCCAGGTATATTATAATACTCTTTGTGGATAGTGACGAGAATAATGCCATAAATCGGTCACAATTACCGATACTGGAAATTTTGAAAAGTATTTAAAAAAATATTTTAAATGTGGGCTTTACAGTGATGCTTATGGCATCTCCAACAACAAGATCAATTTTGTGTGCCTTTCAAATTAAATTTCTAAACCAAAGTAGTTAAATACTTACGGCAATTTCCCATAGGAATACATTTGCCAGTATCATCCCTTACATAGCCGTGTTTACACACGAATTCAGGTACTCCTTGACACTTGGCCTTGATTTGATCTGGATCTTCCCGTCTTGGACAGTCGATGGAAAAACCCAACTGGGAGCAGTATTGTGGAGTGCATAGAAAGTTCATACATTCAGAGAGCTTTTCTTCATTTTCATCAATACAATGTACTATAAACCAAAGAATGCGAGTTGAAATATTATTGTATCATTGTTTCTGGGTGATCAAATAAAAGCTACTTGGAAGAAAGTGCATTTGCGAATTTAGCTAAGAAAAAAATTTAAAGGGTAAAATAAGGAGATTTCGACATATTGGTATTGATCAATTTTGATAAAATACAGTTCTAAAAAAGATATTTGAATAACTATGATATTTACCGTGACACACAAGAACAACAGTTGCTACTATCAAATGAAACAATTTGAACACTGTCTTCTTTTTCAAAATACGTCCCATCTTGTCAAATAATATCTACAGAAAAATCAGTTGGAATGGGTCTCAAACTTTTATTTTAATACAATGTCAACAAACATTAAATTATCAAGTATTTATAATGGAAGCTGTTCATGCTCAATTGCATTTACACATTATGTTTAGGGATCCGTGCTCTACAACTGCGAATGAGTTGACAAGGTTCAACTGTCCGCTGTTTTCTAGCGGGAATTTTGAAACCGAACGGATTGAGGTATCTATGTATTCCTACTTTAGGATCACACTTTATCCATGTGCTCAAAACTCTACTGCCAATATTATAAGGTTTAAGAGATTGTTTGTCAGAATGTGCTAATCTCTGGAAAAATAAATATTGAATGAACAGGAGCCGAGTAGCAGTGGGTGTCACCGCGTGGGAGTAGGTAGATGGATATACATATACCTACTTATATAATACATAGGTCCAGTGACTAGAGTCAAGGTTTTATTTTGTCTGTTTTTTATTGATCTGTTGTCAAGAGTCTATCTCTGTTACGCAATATTATTAGGTTGGCAGTAAATAAAGAAGTCACGAAAAAAAAATTTGAATGTAATGCACGGATCCTTCGACGGAATAAATTAATGAACGGCATCAGTACGTCACTTATCATGTGATTAATAATTATGTTTTTTTAAATTATAACTTGATAATATCAACGGTTGAAAGGCTAATTGATCTAAACAATTTTTTTACGCTATTGAGTTATATTTATAATTACTTTATATTCGTAATCAAGCGGATTTTTTTGCGTCAATATTTTTTTATATTATAGATATTAGATGCTTATTGGTTACATGTACATGAATTGAGATGTCCCTGATAACAAAATGGTATAATCAATTTTTTACTTTAAACGTTAAAAAATAACAGTATTGTACATTTATTGTTTGTACTTACCTCTAAGTAAAGCATGACGATAATATTCTGTACAGCTTTTCTTCGGTAACTTATTAATTACAATTTCTTAACAATAGTGTATAAAGACGAAAAATAACATACATAGGTACATGCATAACCGTACCGAAATATCCGTAGTTGATTACTAAACAAGTAAAAAATACTTAAATACACTTCCGGACACTTGAATCGAGCCACATTACATTCCCGGGCCTAAAAGCTCATTACACAAAATATATGCAATATAACAAAAAAGTTTTTATGCATTTTTAATGCATAAAAATATATACTCAAAGATAATAATAATGAAATAATAATAATGAACAAAAGCCGAGCTTGGTCATTGATTTGAAAAAAATAATGGCTGTAGGAAGTTACTTTTGAAGCAATTTAATTTCGATTTTGTGTGAATTTTCGCTATTTTTGTTAACCAAAGTTTAGTTTAGTTTTTTTTCTTTAATTTGAATCGCTTTTGGCTATAAAATTATGGATACTTCACCTGAAATAGCCGCGCAAGCTGTAGCACTACTTCAATATGGGCTAAGTCAGCGAGATGTGAGTTCACAACTTCTCATAAGTCGTTCTACTGTCCAAAGAGTGTACCATCGATACCTGGAGACTGGCGGCTTCGTTCGGCGAACAGGAGGACCTCGTTACCGGGTGACAACGGCGAGACAAGATCAATACATTGTCACTACCAGCTTACGCAATCGACGCCTTACCTCTGTTCAAATACAAGAACAGCTCAGGGACTTTCACGGAGTGGCTGTAAGTGCTCGGACCGTTAGAAGGCGACTCAATGAACGTGGTTTAAAGCCCCATAAGCCAGCCAATGAACCCAAATTGACACGAGCACACCGAATAGCCCGTTTAGAGTTTGCGCGCGAACATCTAAATTGGACTCGACATCAATGGAGCCAGGTTCTCTTCACAGATGAATCCAAGATAATGCTATACGGTAACGACGGAAGGAGTAAGGTGTACCGAAGAGAGAACGAGCGTTTCGCGCAATGTTGTATTGACGAAAGAGTGAGTTATGGTGGAGGATCATGGACTGTCTGGGGAGGAATCTCTATGGAAGGCAAAACTGAGCTAGAGGTAGTAACGGGACCACGACTGCCGCCCCTAGATAGCAATAGATACATTCGCCAATGTTTAGAGAACCACGTGATGCCATATGCTGGATTTATTGGCCAAGATTTTGTTTTAATGCATGATAATGCAAGGGCCCGTACTGCGGGAATCGTCAGGCAGTACTTAAATGACATTGGTATCACTGTTATGAGATGGCCAGCGCAAAGTCCTGATATGAATCCTATAGAGCATCTATAGGATGAGCTGAAGAGGCGTGTTCGAGCTCATCATCCTGCCCCGCAAACCACGGAGGAGCTCAAAAATGTAATTTTGGAAGAATGGGAGGACATTCCTCAACATGTCATAACGACATTGATTAATTCTATGCCAAACCGTATGAGAGCTGTCATAAATGCACGGGGAGGCAATACGAGTTACTAAATAAACATTTCTTTTCATTTAAAACATTTTTTTGTTTAAAAATCGATTAGATTTTTTTCTTTGAAAAAAGCAAATATGGACTTGTGTCAACGTAACTCGACTTTTTTAATGAACTGTAGTTCAAATTTAGAACAGTGGCACTCTAAATGAATTTTGATTAAATCAGCTCCAAAACTGCATCAAAACATTTTCCTTCTACATAGATTTTTTACAAGTTACAGTACTCCAAACCAAAAAAATCAAGGTGGCTCGATTTAGGTGTCCGGAAGTGTAGTAAATCAATCACAATATTTAAATTGTCAAAATAAAGAAATAAAGATAAATATGTATCTACATTCTTAAAAGTACCTACACATAGATATAAAGTTCAAACTGCGTCGTCTTATATAATCTATAGTGAATAGTATAAACACACTAACCGCCTTACTCAGTCATTTACTTAGTCCAGCCCTTAATCATTGTTATCGGAACAGAATCGTTACTACAGAATAGTTCAAATAATCGCAAATGTCTCTGAGTACGGGAGTTACATATCGATGTATTTTGACAAGGTTTAAGTTTAGAATATCTTTATTTCTCACAAAGAATCACACACATAATTCACTTACTGAGAAACAGTATTTCACACAAAAGTAAGCAATTTAGAGCGCACCGTAGTACGCACATATAAACAAAAACAATATAAAAGCAAAAATATTAATTTTCACTATTTAAAAATGTGGCCAAAATGATAAATTAACACAAAGAACAGAATCAAGTAACACGGGCAGTAAATATTCACTTACAACAGTCCGACATAGGTATGCATTCGCCTTGATCATTTCTGACGAGATCTTTCTTACATATGCAAGTCGGTCTGTCATTGTGACGTGGTTTCTTGGGACACTTCTTTTCCTGTCCTACTTCGTCACAGGTGAGAGGATCGCAGACCATTGAAGGATGTTCCTCGTATCGTTCCTTGGGACCACAAGTCGGAGCTAGGAAAATAAAGGTTATTAAAATTTGTTTGAACTACGATTAGTTGCGGTAGTTTGATTAATTGGACCTAGAATGTCATTTTTTGCAAGAGCAGATTTTCTTGTGTAACTCGGAATTAATCAGAAATGTATCAGACAATTTAAGCTTGATACGTCAAGGAAGTTACAAAATTGTTTTGGATTCGCATACAAAACGAAATCGATAAGAAAATATCACCATCTTTCATGTTTCTGAAAACTTCAGGAACCGAATCGATTATGATCCAATCGCCTGATTTTGCGATACTAAGCTGTGTTACAGTAAAGGAGCCTTTTTAAACACTTTGATACTTACTGCAGTTTTTAGGTAAAACGCATTTCTTCTTATTATCATCGTACACGTAACTTTGTTTGCAGGCACAGCCACCCAAGTAACAGCCTATAGGACACTTAAGATCTCCTTTCTTGTAGTCGGAACAACGTCTTCCGCAGTAATTACCACAGCCGGGTATTGCGTTTGGATCTCCTTTGCACGATACTGAAAATTAACATTATTAAAAGAAACTTTAATAACATTATTGGGTTGTTGTTTTCGTATCATCTTATTGATATCACTTTCTTAGAAATTCGTGCTAGAATTATATGTATAATAAAGCTTTGGGCTATCCAGCCCAATATTCTTAATATTTTCAAAGCAATATTCAACTGACATTTGGCAAACATAATTATTATCCATTATCTGATAACATAACATTACGTAACGCCTTTTATTACCGAAGGGGTAGGCAGAGGTGCACATTATGCCACTTTTCACTATTTATGTTATGAGTCCCATGTAATAGGGGGTGAACTTATCTGACAATGTAGTGTATAAATGTTTACAATTTTTTTTTCTGTGTGTGCAATAAAGTATAAATAAAGTATAAATAAATAAATAAATAAATATATATAGTAGTATGTATATTTCAAGAAATATACATATATAGCTTTGGGGTGGATATTATTGTTAAACCAAAATTCAACTGGTATTTGGCAAAAATGAATTAACTAATAATGTGGTCGATATTGACCATATTATCACTTAATATATTAATTAAGGAAATATTAATTAGATAGTTCGTCGAAGGTACGGTTATGTATGTACGTACAATGCGTATATATAAAACATAGATTGCTATGAAGCATAGTCCAATTTAAAAAGTATTTAGACTTTTTTAGGTATTAAGGGGACTGTGACCATACTTAGATATAATAGAAAAATGCAAACTAGAAACTTACCATTACATTGTTTAATTGGTATACAGATGCCATTGTCATCTCGAGCGTAGTCTTTGAGGCAATAACATTGAGGGATGCACTTCTTATACTTAATGGGACAATTTGTTTGATTCTGCTGCGATAGTGTAGAACATACGTTGTCGCATGTACCACAAGTGAAGTACTCGTAAGGATTAGTACATTTTACTGTGAACAAAATTGGTAGAATTTGTTTACTTCTGGTATTTTTTTGTTCAATAAAACTGCAATGCGGATTTGAACGACAATATTTTTAGGATAGGATCGAAAGAGTTACGGGAATTACCAATATTTTTTTTTTTTGATGCAACTATGTATTATCACGTTAATACTTAAAAATCTAGTAGATTATAAAACAGCATTATTACGAACGAGAGAGGTGAAAAATAGGATTGGCCATAGTTGGATCCAGATGTTTATAATAGCAACCCTATCTTATGCAGTCTTATGTATACTTACGACAATCCTCTTCTGATATACATTCTCCAATTGCGTTTCTATAGTATCCTTCTTCACACTGGCATCCTGGAGTACAATGGTCTTCGCCTTCTGGTGGATTCGGACAAACATAAGCCCTTGTAAGGCTTTCACAGGTTTGAGGCGGACACGTTCTTTGGCACTTCACGTAAATTTCATGCGGTTTTGAGCATTTCTCTGTTACATGAAATATTTTTGTTAGGAAATGATCGTTATTTGTAGGTATTGTGTATGGTCTATCATTTTAAGGTTCAAACCTAGATGAAACTAAAAAAATTACAAATGTGTGGTGTTTATGTTTTCATATAACAGATTTTAATATTTTTATTTCGACGACTTGGCTCGTAAATCAACAAATTGTTGATCTCAATACTTACTTGGGCATTGGTCTTCAGGCACGCAGACTCCGTCATCGTCCTTTAAGTATCCTTCTTGGCATACACAGGCTCCAACACATTCATCAGGCTGTGGTTCAGACTCAGAAGACTCATCAGTTTCTGATGGCTCTTCAGAAGAAGAATCAGAAGAGTCAGAAGAAGTATCAGAAGATTCAGAAGAAGAAGAATTAGTATCAGAAGAGTCAGATGAAGAAGAATCAGAATCATTAGGGGGTTGATCATCATGGTCTTCAGAAGTTGGTTCGTCTATTTGTGAGCATTTCGTTCTCTTGCATTCTTTATTAGCGCACTGTTTGTAGACTTCATTTGCTCCGCATGTTGGTGCTAGATTATAATAATTGGGTAGAATTAGAGTATGAACAAACTAAGTTACTTTATTTCGCCTTCTTATTTTACTTAAACATCTGCAAGTTTGTTTTTGTCAAACGATCTCAGAAGAGTTTTAAATATTTTTTTATACATATCATCATTAAGCACTATATACTGATTATTTGAAATTTAGGTACGAATAATACTTACTACAATTGTTGGGACGGACACATAGTCCTACGTTGCTGTCAAATACGAAGTCTTCTTTGCAGTCACACCCATTAAGTTTACAGTAAAGTGGACAGAATACGTTCTTTTTCTTATAGTTGGAGCATAATCTACCACAGTTCACACCACAACCAGATTTTGCATTTGGATCGCCTCCACACGAAGCTGTACAAAATATTTTTTAGTTTTATAAAAAAAGAAAGAGGAAAACACAGTTTCACTGTTTTACAGAATTGGTAAAATTTAAGTCTTTTCTTAATAATAACAACATCGGAGATCAAAGGCCAAATAAAATCGCGGGAATCCACACGAGACAATATATTTTCTATTGTGTCTCATGTCGGTACATTCAAGCGGTTATTCAAAGGTTTAGTACTCGTGTTTATATTCACTTATAAAATAAAACTAAGCATTTCGTAAGTAGTTACCGGTGACCGTTCTCCACTTACTCCATTATATACCATATATCCGATGTTTAGAGACTACTTTCGTATGAAAAAATATTGTAGATTTTTCATAGTCGACCACTAAGATGTTAAATTACACACAATATACTTACGGCAACTATCAATAGGAACACATTTGCCAGTATCATCCCTGACATAGTTGTCTATACAGATGCATCCAGGTTCTCCTGGACATGTGTCACTGGCGTTTCCGCTCAGTGCTGGACAGTCTATGGGAAAACCCAACTGTGAGCAGTATTGTGGAGTGCATAGAGCATCCGGACAGTCATTGGGCATCTCATTTTCACCACATTGCACTACGAACCAAAAAATGTGGATTATTAATGTGGATATATAATGTTATTGGATAAATATTATAATTGCCTCTGGGTCTTGGGTGATCAAATGAAAGCCACTTTTTAGTAAAAACTGAATTTACTAACAATTAAGTTGAGAAAGAGGGCAAAATAAGGAGACATCAACATTGGCATTGATAAATGTTTACCTGGGCTTTTTTGTGATCTTCTGATTACTCAAGGTCAAACAATTCTGATAAGTTTAGGATAGCATAAAGCCGATTACGAAGATAACTATACACGACCTATTTTATTTGCTTGTAAAAAAAAGTCTTGACATCTCAATTTTTATGTAAGTAAACGCCATATTTAATTACCTGGACATTCTTCTTTTTTAACGCAAGTTCCATTATCAGCTCGTAAATATCCTTCTACACAGATGCATCCTTTTATACATCCACCTTCAATAATGTTGACGCAAGGGACTGGCTTTCCCAACTGAGAACAGTTTCTGGCATCACAACCTCCATTGACACAAGCTGAATATTCTTCATTTTCTCCACATGTTGGTGCTAAAAAAGATGTAGTTTGATCTTATTCTACTTTAGGTGTATTTAGTATATTTATCTAACCAAAAACATTTTGTAAAACCTAGCCAAGTCTCGATGCAGCCGCTTGTTCATCTCTATAAAGTAATGAAATCTAAACCAAGTCTTTTTTTTTTTTTTTTTTTTTTGAGGTGGGAAAATCATCCAATGACTTCTCCCGCCTGGGTGAGGCGGGAGGGAGTGTCAGACTCTTACTGACTAAAAACCACCCCGTTCCTACACCTGCACTTCGAACCGGAGCCCCGGCAACCCGTTAAGTCTTCCGCGGCTCCGTATCGGCATCAGCCTTGTTAGGCCCCATCTGTGGTGGTCTGATGGCTCCTTGAGGCGCGCGCGGAACGCGACGCGCCGTACGCACGGGCCTGGTTCTGGTCGGGCGGCGAGTCACCCATGCTCGCCGTCCGCAGACCCGTGCTTACGGTGGCCGGAGATCGTCTCGCGATCCCCGACGCCCAGAGTGTCTCTCGCGACGGCCGGGTCGTGAGGAGGTTCGTTCCCTCACGCGCTCCGCCTCCTCCTTAGCTAGCATGACTGCTTCGCAGAAGGAGGAGACGGCATCCCAGTCCCCCTCGCTCCGTACCATGGTCTGAACCAGAGCCGGACGCGAGAGGTCGCCGTCGCCGATCACATTCCTGAGGACACGGCGGTGCTCAGTCCACGCAGGACACACCGCCACCGTATGCTCCACCGTGTCCTCCGGGCGATCCTCGCAGTGATGACACCCGGGCGTTTCCTCCCGCCCAATCCGAAACAGGAACCTACCGAAACTTCCGTGTCCGGTAAGCACCTGCGTCAGGCGGTAGGTGAGGACGCCGTAGCGTCTCTCAAGCCACTCCTCAAAGAGGGGACTTACCGCTGCAATGACAGCGAGCCCAATCTAAACCAAGTCTAAGGTTCCTTACTGCGATTTCTTTATTATTATAGTTAATATTGTGAGACTTGGCCGTTGAAGGGTACATTGCCGTGCCCCCAGATACGTAAAGTGTTTTGGATTTTATTATTTAGAAAACAGTTAATAAGGCCGACTACCGTTTTTGATGGCCGAGTGGTCGCAAGTGCGACTACCGGGCAAGGGGTCTCGAGTTCGATTTCCGGATCAGGCAAAGTATTACTGGGTTTTAAAAAAGATCTCAGTAGTAGCACGGATTCTGGAATTGCGCTCGGTATAAGACACCCTATTACACGGGAATCATAACATAAATAGTAAAAAGTGTGTGTTACATTGTACAGTGGCATTATGTGCACCTCTGCCACTTCGGGGATAAAAGGCGTAATGTTATGTTCATTCCTAAATTGGTTGGTAAATTGGACTAAGTTGACTATGGCTCATATACTCAAAGGCTACTCAGTTTTAAGTCGCACTTAAGTATTGTTCTGTCACTATAAAAACTATGTAAGGTGACAAAGGTGGCACAATATTTAAATACAACTTAAGATTGAGTACCCTTTCAGTATTTGCGCAATTGACTTATTACGATTAAAATGACTTATTTAATATTTCACTTACTGCATTGTTCAGGCTTAACGCATTCATCGGTGTTATCATCATACACATATTCCTTTTTACAGTCACATGCATTAAATTTGCAAATTCTAGGGCAAATAACATGTTTAGCCTTGTAATTTGAACAATGTCTACCACAATTTATACCACAACCAGATTCCGCGTTCCGATCGCCACCACATGATGCTGTAAAGGAAATGTTATACCATTTTTTATGAATACCATGCAAAGATTGAAAAGAATATACGGTTTTATTTTGTTTTAAAGTTTTCAATTTTGGTAATCAATAGAGGACACATTAATTACTGGCATATAACGAAATCAAGAATGATGACTGACGATTTTCTGTCCAATTATGGAAACTATCCAAAATTAAGTACTTACCAACTAGTCAAATTCAATACTTTTTTCGAACTGTCAAAAACGACAGTTTACTATGGGATTTTGTACAAGATTGTGTATACATTGTTACTACGCGTTTTTTAGCGAACAAGATACTTATCTATCTTCTCTTCTATATATATAAAAATCAATGCCACTTTTCGTTGTAATTCCATAACTCAAGAACGGGCTCACCTATCCAAACCAAATGCTTAGGATTTGGTCGGCATATTTAGTAGATGGTTTATGTGAAGTTTGCACAAAATCGGTCGAGCGGTTCCTCATTTGTCACATTTTTTGTAATAAATGAATTCAATAGAAACTTTTTTCACAGAAACTTTTTTGAAGTTTTGTTGACAGGACAAGCACGTTGTTATGTCATTCATGCCGCCAGTTCATTTTGGACGTGGTTTGATTAAAGCATATTATCAGCGATAAATTTCTTTTCACATAATTGCATTTGCAGTGCATTCATACAAACGGTGAGTCCTGAATTTATGTGTACTTTTCTAAGTTGCCGTATATGATTTCACATAGCATCATATGCGACAGCTTCTTGGGAATTTGTTTTTTTTTTTGTTCTAATTTTTTTTTCGATTTTTAAGCGAAAACATATGTGCATACGGGAAAAATGCCACCAGCCAGACGAGCAAATATAGGTCGGCGAACGCGTAATGCAAATGATGTGGCATTACTAAGACGATCACAGACTGCAGATGAACGCGCACAAGCTAATGCATCGCAGCGTGAACGTAATGCACGCAATGGATTTGTTAACCCAGTACCTGTACTGAATCTTGCACGGCCATCACGAATACGTCGTGCTGTTTTGGCTGAAATGATGCGTGCTGCTTTTAATTACAACAGTCAGATTGATTATAGTATGTATGGATACATTGGAATGATGGACGCAATATGTCCACATTGTGATGCGGCTAACTTTCCAGGTGAAACGCCCGGCATGTGTTGTGCTAATGGCAAAGTGAGATTGCCAGCATTAGAAACTCCACCCGAACCATTGTATTCATTTATTTTTGGGACATCGCAAGCGTCGAAGCACTTTCTGAGTCATATTCAACAATACAATTCGGCATTTCAAATGACTTCTTTTGGTGCAACTAAAATTATTAGAGATAATTTTATGCCGACGTTTAAGGTAAATACTTCAACAGGATTATTCCATGTTTGTATCAATCTGAAGCATAAAGTATATTTAAAAAAAAACTGATATAAGATTTACCTAAAATTGTATACATGTTACAGATTCAGGGCCAGATTTATCATCAAGCTGGTTCGTTATTGCCATACCCCGACGCTGATCATCAATTTTTGCAAATTTATTTTATTGGTGATGAAAATCGTGAATTGGATCAACGTTGTGCAATTGTTTCGAATACAAGACGAGAAATTATTCGTGAGCTACAAAGGTTTTTCCATCAGCATAACGCATTAGTTCAATTGTTTAAAATTGCTCTCGATCGTATGCCAACTGATAATCACAAAATCGTAATAAGAGCTGATAGAACACCTTTTGGAGAGCATGCAAGGCGATTTAATGCACCAACAATTGATGAGGTTGCAATTGTAATTCTTGGTGATCAGTTTCAATCCCGTGATATTGTACTTCATCGTAGAAATGAGCAATTGCAACGTGTTTCGGAACTTCATCGTAGTTACGATGCATTACAGTACCCAATATTGCATTGGAAAGGTGACGATGGTTACCATATCAATATACCAATGATTGATCCACGAACAGGTAAATAATTGACCTATTTTTAGTGTGTTGACATTTCATTTCTACAACTTTCTAAAGTCACATTTTGTAATTATTTTCAGGTCTACATATACAGAAAAAAGTTAGTGCCATGAATTTTTATTCGTATCGATTGATGATTCGTCCACAAGAACAAAATTATATCTTAAAATGTGGTAAACTATATCATCAGTACATCGTTGATATGTATGCCAAAATAGAGACTGAACGTCTTAATTTTATTCGTTTCAACCAAGCAAAATTAAGATCCGAAGAATATATTCATTTGCAAGATGCGATAGCGAATGATGCTAATGTTAATGACATCGGACGTTTAACTATATTGCCATCTTCGTATATTGGTAGCCCACGGCATATGAACGAATATGCACAAGACGCAATGTCTTATGTACGAAAATACGGTCGACCGGATCTGTTCATTACATTTACATGTAATCCGCAGTGGGATGACATCAAGAACAATTTATTTGAAGGCCAGTCGACAACTGATCGTCATGACATTACAGCACGTGTTTTTCGGCGAAAATTGAAAGCACTTATGGATTTAATTGTGAAATTACGTGTATTTGGAGAGGTGCGTTGCCATATGTACTCCATCGAATGGCAAAAAAGGGGATTGCCGCACGCACATATATTAATTTGGCTGGTAAATAAAATAACTCCGGATCAAATCGATAACGTTATATCAGGTGAAATTCCTGATCAAACTGTTGATCCTGAGTTATTTGATGTTGTCGTTAAAAACATGATACATGGTCCGTGCGGTGAACTAAATATGAATTCGCCATGTATGATTGATGGAAAGTGTTCGAAACGATACCCAAGACAATTGACTTCAGACACAATAACGGGCAATGACGGATATCCGTTGTATAGACGTAGATCACCTAATGATAATGGCAAAACGGCAACCATTAGAATGCGTAACCAGGACGTTGAAGTTGATAATCGTTGGGTGGTTCCGTATTGTCCATTATTATCGAAAATATTCAAGGCTCATATAAATGTGGAGTATTGTAATTCAGTCAAATCCATTAAATATATTTGCAAGTATGTAAATAAAGGGAGCGATATGGCTGTTTTCGGTGTAGCTGGTGATAATAGAAATGATGAAATTACTCAGTATCAACTGGGGCGCTATATTAGTAGTAATGAAGCTGTCTGGAGGATTCTGTCGTTTCCAATGCACGAAAGACATCCTGTGGTTGTTCACTTAGCTGTGCATCTTGAGAATGGCCAACGTATTTATTTTAATGAAGCAAATGCATTGGAAAGAGCAGCACACCCACCAGCGACTACGTTGACAGCTTTTTTCAAATTATGCGAAACTGATACATTTGCTAGAAATTTGTTATATTCCGAAGTGCCTCAGTACTATACATGGAATGTGTCTTCAAAAAAATTTCAAAGACGTAAACAAGGAACAGCAGTCGATGGGCATTCAGGCATTTTCAAAACAGATGCAATTGGGAGAATGTATACAGTACATCCAAACAATGCTGAGTGTTTTTATTTGCGATTGCTATTAGTTAACGTCAATGGCCCAAAATCATTTCAAGAATTAAGAACAGTCGACGGTCATTTGTGTCAAACATATCGTGAAGCATGTCAACTCTTGCATTTGTTGGAGGATGATGCACATTGGGATTCAACACTTAATGATGCATCTACGTCAGCTCATCCACAACAAATACGAATGCTATTTGCCATTATATTATCGACATGTATGCCATCAAATCCACTTGAATTATGGAACAAATATAAAAATTATATGGCAGAAGATATTTTAATTCGTATGCGTCATCATGCAAGAAATCCTGATTTGTTGATTACCTTGGAAATGTGCAACGAAGCTTTGATAATAATTGAAGATATATGTCTAACGATTGCAAATAAAGCATTAGTACAATTGGGTATGACCGCACCAAATCGTCCCATGCATGATTTGTTTGATCGTGAATTGCAACGTGAGCAGGAATTCAACTGTAATGATTTGCGTTTATTTGTACAATCGAATATAACCAAATTAAATATTCAGCAAAAACATGTATATGATACAATCATGCAAGCCGTTTCCAATAATGCAGGTGGATTATATTTTTTGGATGCACCTGGTGGCACAGGTAAAACGTTCGTTATATCATTGATTTTAGCGACTATTCGATCAGATCAGAAAATTGCACTAGCACTTGCATCTTCGGGAATTGCTGCTACATTATTAGAAGGTGGTCGGACCGCACACTCTGCATTAAAATTGCCATTGAATGTACAGGTGATTGAAACTCCAACTTGCAATATATCGAGAAATTCTGCTATGGCAAAAGTTCTGCGATTAACGTCAATTATTTTATGGGATGAGTGTACAATGGCGAATAAAAAATCACTAGAAGCATTCAATCGAACAATGCAAGATTTACGTGGTAATCAACAGCTTTTTGGTGGTGCTTTGATATTACTTTCAGGGGATTTTCGTCAAACATTGCCTGTCATTCCTCGATCAACTCCTGCTGATGAAATAAATGCCTGCTTGAAGTCATCAGTTCTTTGGAGATATCTACAAAAATTGACACTAAACATTAATATGCGTGTTCACCTACAAAATGATCCAGCTGCCCATGAGTTCTCAAAACAATTGTTAGAAATTGGTGACGGCAAAATACAAATCGACAGAACCAACGGATTGATCGCTGTACCGAACAATTTTTGTACAATTGCGCAATCGATAGATGAATTGATTGAATGTGTTTTTCCGAATATTGTTCAGAATTACAGAAATCATGATTGGTTGACAGAACGCGCCATTTTAGCACCGAAAAACATTCATGTCAATGCAATTAATTTTCAAATTCAAGCGAAACTGCCAGGCGTAGTCACGAAATATAAATCAATTGACAGTGTTATGAATCAAGATGAGGCAATGAATTATCCAATTGAATTTTTAAATTCATTGGAGCCGGCTGGTATGCCACCGCATTGCTTGAATCTGAAAGTTGGTTCTTCGATTATATTATTGCGAAATATTAATCCACCAAAACTGTGTAACGGAACCAGATTGGCAGTGAAAAAGTTATTGCCAAATTTGATTGAAGCTACGATCTTAACTGGTAAATCAAAAGGAGAAGTTGTTTTGATACCGCGTATACCTATGATTCCAACTGATATGCCTTTTGAGTTCAAACGTTTACAATATCCTGTGCGTTTATCATTTGCGATGTCCATCAACAAGGCCCAAGGTCAAACACTTCACGTTTGTGGTGTGAATTTGGAGGAACATTGTTTTTCACATGGCCAGTTATATGTTGCCTGTTCCAGAGTCGGTACCCCCAGCCGTTTGTTTATTTATGCTCAAAATGGAAAAACAAAAAATATTGTTTATCCAAATGTTTTGGATTAAGTGTGTTGTAAATAGCTAGCAATTGATTTCGATTTTAAATAAAATATTTTTTTGATTAAATAAATGAATTTGATGTTCCGATTTGTTTATTTTATTTCACTTTATACGTAGCGAAGCACGTACCGGGCCGCTAGTACTGTATAAGTATCTTGTTCGGCGCTATCTAAAATAATCACATGTATGTCATACATGTGATTATTTTTTAATATATTAGCCAACTGGTGTAATATACAACCAGACTGACTGTTAATGAAGCGAAAGAGGTATGTAGGAATCGTAGTAATTGGAGTTCCATAATCTCTGCCTACCCCCATGGGAGACAAGCGTGAGGTTATGTATGTATGTATGAAACAACCAGTTAAAAAAAATTATGTGGTCCAAACATTTTTGTTAAGGACCACTTTAGTATTTACGTCGTAGGTACACACACACACACCCAAATATCATGAGTTCATGCGTTACATCACATGTATGTCATACATGTGATTATTTTTTTATATATTATTGCATTTAATAGTAGAAATAATTTAGTTTTTGTTAGGGAAAATAACCAATTGACTATTCAATAGTTTAAATGACCAGATTAGATAAACATGACCTCACGCTGTATTAGCGCACACATCCTCGACATTTTGCACTACAACTAGGTGTAATATACATTTATTATTAATAATACTCACGGCAACTTTTTTTAGGAATACAAGTTCCCTTTTTGTTCCTTACATAGCCATAGTCACAAATACAAGCTGGTTCGCCATTACATTCATCTCCTGCATTTGCTGAGCAATTTAGTGGAAAGCCTAGTTCGCTGCAAGTCTTCGGTTCGCATGTATTGTCTGGACATTTCTCATATCGCTCATTTGTACCACATGGAATTGCTGTGAAGTAGAGTAATTTATTATCTAGTTTTATTTATGGCTTCAATAGTAATAATAATTTATTGGTGATTATATCATCTTATTTCAATAATTTAAAAGAAATATGGTCAAAAATTCACAATATTTTGAATATTCATAATATCTTGAAAAGCTTAATGAAAAAAAATGTTTTTAAAGAATACGTTAAAATAGTTTTTATTATGACATTATGTCGGTCATAATATTACAATAGTATTAAAAATACAGTACCTTATAATAAGATGGTGCGGTACGGTACCTATATATATAGACAGAGAGTAGAACATACTTTTTTAAAAAGAGTAACGAATGGAGTTGCTTGCTCGTTCTTTTCCATTCGAATTTACATTTTGGAATGAGCACCTAGCTTCACCTAGCTTCACTGACGGACTGACTGACAGACTATTATTTATTTTGTATTTGTTGACGTTTCAAAAGTACCAAATATTGGTTTAATTTAAATAAATGCTTTGACTTTGACTTTGAGACATAAAGTTATGAAAACCCAAAAAATACTAACTGCAGTTTTTACGTTTGACACATTTTTCTTGATACTGGTCGTAAACATAGCCCTTTCGACAATCGCAACCGTTGTATTCACAAATATCGGAACAAGCCATGTCTGTTCTGTTATGGTTAGGGCAGATTTTGCCACAGTTTACTCCACAACCGGACACAGCGTTGGGATCACCTCCACACGAAGCTGAAACATTGGATATTTTTACACTTCTCGCGATATTGATTTCCATTTATGCCTCTATGGGCTAGTTGAAACGGTGCGTGAGCATAAAATAGAAAGACTTAAAAAAATGGTGTTATTGCACGACTTAAAAACATGGCAAACATTTTAAAAAAAAGCAGTATTAAGACGATGATAAAGATTCAGATTTTATTATTGAACTAAATACGTAATTTTTATTATAACCATGAATTTATGCTAATTATATAGTCGTTTACTTACGGCAATCCTCCTTAGGTATACATTTTCCTTCGTCATTTCTCACATAGTTTTCTTTGCAGATACAGCCTGGTGGTACAGGACATTGACCATCCACGAAATCTGGACAGGCCACAGGGAAGCCTAACTCTGAGCACTTTTGTGGGGCACATACTGCTGGCGGACAATCTACTGGCATTTCATTCTCACCACATTTTAGATCTGGGGATATTTTAATAAACAAGTCAGAAATTAAAATTAAACGTCTACTGCTTTATTTTTACGAGACCAAATTATTATTAAGTTAATCCCCGATTATGAAATTCCACAACATTTGTTCATATAAAAGTAGTCTCTAAGGTCTATAATGGAGTAAGTGGAAAGCGGTCACCGGTGACCGCTTCGGTACTGGGCAGTTAAGTGGGTTTGTGGTTCTAAAGGCCAAACCAACTTCGAGAAAACCGGGCATTGAGTTTGTAAATATGTCATTTGCAAAATATACTTACTATCACATTGATCTTTTGGAACACAGGTACCATTCTTGGCACGCAAAAATCCGTCTTTACAAACACAGCCCTTTTTACAATAATCAGGATTAATTTTAACACAACGTATTGGTTGTCCTAGTTGCGAACAGTTTCTTGGACCACATCCACCATTGATGCAGCTTGAGAATTCTTCATTGTCTCCACAAGGTGGTGCTGTAATAATGTTATTGGTAAGGGAACTTTCTTAATGAACTGTAAGTTTCTAAGTAAGTATATTTGGTCCTACCTTTATTCTTCCAGCTAGAGTTGTAAGAACCGACTCAGATTACAAACATAACTATTATAGAGACTTGGCAGAAGAGTTCTCTGATACACTTGAACCTTTAAATTTTCACATCCTCATGCAAAGAAGGCCCATAGTCCATGAATAGAATGTGACGTGCTATTGTTGATGATCAAGATGACATATTTCATAAAATTGGTAAAATACTTACTGCAATCTTCAGGGTCAACACATTGCTTTGTATTATTGTCATAAACAAAGCCCTCCTTGCAGGCACAGGCATTTGGATAGCAGATCTTTGGACAAGGTATTGGCTTTGGATACTGGTTGGGACAAAGTTTGCCACAGTTGACTCCACAACCTGCTTGAGCATTGGGATCACCACCACATGATGCTGAAAGATGGAAAATATTCGTTATTGATGCAAAATCTCTTTGATCTTCGAGATTAAGGATTTTATGATTGATTGACGATTATGCAAATTTGATGTTGTTTTATTTGGTCAAGGTCATATTTTAGCGGATAGTAAATAAAGCTCAACTTACGACATTTTGACTTATGCACACATTTTCCTTTACTGTTTCTTACGTAGTCGTGTTCACAGATACAACCTGGAGGTACTGGACAACCACTGTCTGAGTAGTCTGGACATTCGATGGGGAAGCCCAGCTGTGTACAATTTTGTGGAGCGCAGACCGCCGGTGGACAATCCACAAATCTTTCATGTTTGGGACATTTTGGTTCTGTGGGAGATCAAAATAGTTTTAGGCGCTTTTCGAATTAAAGGCCTTTAAATAAGTTGTGATATTCACAGTGGCGTGCAGTTCATATAGGCAAAAAGGCTTTGCCTACCTTACAAACATCGTGAATAAATAACATACATAAAATGTACAAACGCGTTTATTAAGATTCAATAATATAATAAAAGTTTGTAAAAAATGGCTAACATAAATATATATTTACATATACTATACACAGACCGCACGCCTTTGCATATTCATACAAAAATATATGATACCTAAAGCCAAACATCAAAATTTCTATTTTTATGTTTGAAATTGTCAATCTGCAATCTAATTGAGCAAACGTGGTGATTAATGCACTGAGACATATACATGTTGTTGATGATGATTATGATGATGTTGATATAATAAAGTGAAAATTAACGACAATAAAACAAGGTTATACGTACTTGGACACTTTTCAATAGGTATGCAAGTGTTATTTTCATCCCTGGCGTATCCTTCATCACAATAACACATTTGGTTACATTGAATGTTTATAATAGGACAATGTGTTTGGTTCTGTATATGTATCGTCTCACATACATTGTCACACGCACCGCCACATGAGAAATACTCGTGAGGACCTCTACATTTCACTGTAAAAAAAATTGTAAAAAGATTGTTAAATTAAAGGTGATATGATTTTGTTTAAAATATACTTTTTATACTTAAAACCAATCAAGAACTGAAGTGATTGAACTATTTAACTTTATAAATAAGATCATCAAGTTAAGGGAAGTTAATAAGAAAGAAGAATTAAACGTAGTGACGTTTCAATCAAGGGTATGCCCTTAGATTAAAGAGTAACAACTGAAAATTAATATTGATATAAATTTAGTTTACAAAGATACACTTACAGCAATCCTCTTTACGAATACATTCTCCAATTTTGTTTCTATAGTATCCTTTATCACACCGACACGCTCCTTTGCAAACTTTAGTTGCGGCACATTTGAATTGTTTTCCAATGCTCCCACAGGTTTGTGGTGGACAAGTTGATGGACATGACTCGTAATGTTCATGTGGTCTGTTGCAATCTATGAAATAAGAGATTCATGTGTAGAATATCGTATGAAGTGTAGAAGTAGCTGTATTATAGGATGAACACAACAGGAACTCTGTTACATTTTCAACTTTAATGTTTTGTGTTAAAGTATGAAATTGAATAATGGGTTAATAATTTGATGTATCTTGATTTGCTGTTATCTGATCAAAACATTTTATACTTACTATCACATTTATCTTTTGGTACACAAGTGCCATTGCTTGCACGCAAATATCCTTCCTTGCAAATGCAACCCTTTATGCAGTCATCGGGGTTTAATTTAACACATGGCACTGGTTGTCCCAGTTGCGAACAGTTTCTGGCGTCACATCCTCCATTAGTGCAGTTTGAAAATATTTCGTTTTCTTTACAACGTGGTTGTTCTGGAAAGGTTTTATTAATGTGATCGTGTAGGTAAAATTAGGGGCGATTCTAATGATAATGTCCAAAGTAGACATAGAGAATAGGCCTTATGTGACTTTAGTGCTTCAGATCGATACAAACGAAACTATTAAGGATGGTATTAAAGAACAAACCAATAATAAAAGATATGACTTACTTGGACATTCCTTAATAGGTATACAAGTATTGTTTTTATCTCTTGCATATCCTTTCTCACAGTAGCATTTGCGATTGCACTGCTTGTTGATGATGGGGCAGTGGGTTTGATTCTGTTTATGTATCGTTTCACACACATTATCACACGCACCGCCACATGAGTAATATTCGTGAAGTCCTGGGCATTTTTCTAGAAATTTAAAAAGTAGTATTATAAGAAGACTTATCATGAAAAATATAGGTTGAAAATTTAGAATAATTCGATTTAAAATAGTTGCTTCTATACTACGTAAAATAATAACACTTATTTAGTATTTATCTTTTTTATATTTCGGTTTCTTATATCGTAGACTTATTTACTTTGATTATCACAAAACTATGGTAATCTAATTTTAGTTAGTATAGATAACTTACTGCATTCTTTCTCCGATATGCACTCGCCAATTTTGTTTCTATAGAAGCCTTCTTTGCATCGACATGCACCTTTGCAATCTTTTTCGTCTATTTTAATCATTGGACAGTGATATATTTTCCCAATACTTTCACAGGTTTGTGGAGGACAAGTTTGGGGACAGGATACATATTCCTCATTTTTACCTGTGCATCTCTCTGTGATAATAAAAAGTGTTACTGTTAAGCAAATGAAAACATCTCAACACGTAATACAATTTCTGTTTTATTCTGAGACTAGAGAATACGTTTTATAAAAATTGTTTTCATTTTGGTCTTTGTTGTAATACCGCATTTATACTACAATTTAAAAAAAAAGCGTTTCCTCCTCACGTTAGGATTTTCTCACGTGTCGTGGGTGCAAACATACAAGTTCACATACACAATGACACCCAGACCCGAAACAACAATGTGTGGATCACACAAAGTGTTATTCCGTGCGGGAATCGAACGCACGACACATTGCACTGCAGCCGGTTGCCCAGCCACCGCACCAACCGTGAAGTCATATACAACTAATACACAAGCCTAGATATACTTACTTTTACATTGTTTGGGATGAACACATTTTTGTTGTTCTTCGTCGTACACATATTGTTTTTTACAGTCACAGGCGTTTCGCTGACATTCAGCTGTGCAAGATACATTGCCATCTTTGTAATTTGAACAAAGTCTTCCGCAGTTACCGCCACAACCTGCTTCGGCATTTGGATCACCACCACATGAAGCTACAAATAAAATAATATTAGTATTTACATCCCCTCAAAAATATATAGATAAATAAATAAATAAAATTTTTATTCATAATAACATTGGTCAACATAGGTACAAAAATATCTTAATTAAGCGACAAGATCTTAAAAATTATATGCCTATACTAGGAATATTCCTGTGTCACATTTATACGAATAAAATATTTTTCGTCATACCTATTTTGAAATTAGGACATTTATAATAAAGTATTTAAGAGAAAACTGCCTCGTTGGCTGAGTGTATAATTATGGCTAGTGTATAACTATGGCAGGCTCAGCCCCTATTACATGGGATTCATAACATAAATAGTGAAAAGTGGGTATTACATTATACAGTGGCATAATGTGCACCTCTGCTTACCCCTTGGGGGTAAAAGGCGTGATGTTATGTCATGCACCTATTTAAGGAAAGTTAATCTTGTAGTAATCCTGGTGACAGCAGAGTAAAGTAATTATTTTACTTAGTCCTCCCGTGTATACCAAGGTTTGACTAAGAGACTTTTTATTACAAAGAACGAGCAGCAGATCTCCAATGTACTTATTATACGTGGACAACTACTTTTAGAATGTCCATAATAGTCTAGCAAATGACTCTCACGTTAATTATGAAAAAAAGTTAAAATACTTACGACATTCAGTAGCTGGAATACAAGTTCCATTTTGTCGTACGTAGCCTTCTTCACAGACACACCCGACTTTACAGTACTTTTGATCCATTTTAACGCAGCCTGTAGGGAACCCTACATCATCACACGTCCAAGGTCCACAGCCACCATTACTGCAGTTCGAAAGAACTTCGTGCTTGCCACATGGGGGTTCTAGAAAATATTTTTGTGTCAGCGTTCAAAAACTTTCACCAAATATTGGTGTTTTGACGTTCAAAAGTGCCTTCCTGGTCTAATTGAAATAAATAATTTTGACTTTGACTTTGACTTTGATTTTGACTTTCACTCTTACTTTGGCTTTTTTTTCTATTAGCAGACAGTTTTTTTATAGCATTTGAATAGACGATGAACAAAATTAGTCTAAAGTTTCTGATAAGTCCAAAATTACAACCACCAGACAACTTTTCATATCCTCGACACTTTTTCAAAATAGAAACTACTTACTGCAAGACTTAACCCGAACACATTTCTTAGCTTTAGGATCATACACATATCCGTCTTTGCACTTGCAACTGTCTTTGTAACAAACACAATCGTCTGGCTTCGGTCCAGGACAGCGCTCGGAGCAATCTTGATCACAACCCGGTTCAGCGTGATGGTCGCCCTTACAAGATACTGTTAAAGAGAATTTAGATATTTTTATAATCACAACACATATCACCAGCCTGTAAGTGGCCACTGCTGATCAAAGACCCTCCCACAGAGAAGGTTTGGGCATTAATCACCACGCTTGCTCAATACGGGTTGACAATTTCAAACTAATAATTAGAAATTATAGGTCCAGGTTTCCTCACGATGTTTGCCTTCACCGTTTGTCAGTGGAATGTAAATAATCGTACAAAGTACATATAACTCGGAAAAGTCACATTGGTACTTTCCGTTGGTAGGTTTCGAACCCGCGCCCTTAAGCATGACCAGTCTTAAACCTCCGGGCCACTATGACTGACATTTGATTTTTATATTGTAACATTGACATGATGCTTTAGTAACTTGCACAGGGTTAGAAGTCAAAATGTCTCTGATCCCCTCAAGTCTCATCGTGGGAAAGGGGATGTCGAAAAATATTCAGAATTTAAAGTAGGTAACGTAATAGATCAAAAATATTGTACACTTATGTTTCAGTTTTATACTAAATAAATTGCCATCTGACATTAAGGCCGTCATTGTATAGTTGTATGTTCAGAAAGTGTTAAATAAAATCAAATCAAATGAATAAAATAAGCAAACAGGCACATTAATTGATAAATAGGTACATAATTACACTGTCGGATTGGAGAGTTTCAATTAGAAACCATTGCTCAGAAGTCGTACTTGAGATAGTACAGAGCCGCATTCTAGTTTAAATGAAGAATTTTTCATAGATTAAGAATACTAATGTCCAGAAACTCAACATTATTGAGTAGCCTTCAGTACTCGGGCATTTAAGTCGCTGTACTAGACGATTAAGTGAAAAGTGACAAAAAATAATTACCACAATGTGAAGGTCGTACACATTTTCCAGTGTTGTCATCAACCACGTAACCTTTCTTACAATCACAGCCATTAGTATTGCAGATAGCTGGACAGACAATATCTGTTTCGTTGTAGTTGGAACAGTATCTACCGCAGTTTACTCCACAGCCTGACTCTGCATGAGGATCACCTCCACATGAAGCTGCAAGTAATGATAAGGGTTTGATGACAATCAGGATCTATTCGTTAAAATCTTCAATGGATCTATGAACGTCAGCGGGCTGTGCATGTGCATATCAGTTTGAATATTGATCATAATTTATCCGCTAATGGATAATAGTTGTTAGTCATTTAATCTTGTAGTAAAAATTATAGATATGGTTAAGTGTAGTGTGTAACATAGGTACCTACTTTATAAATATTGATAAGACGCATTGTAAAAAAAATATGACAAGGACCAAGAGTTCGTGGCGTCGTAAAGTTCGTAAAATAAAAATTAAAAAAGAAAGAATTGAACATAGTTTGGTAATGCTCAGTACGGAAGTCTACTACGTTATATGCGTTTAAATTATAAACCGTGCCACACTCAATAACATTGTATATGAAATGGAGATAGAATTAAGATTGAAAATCACGTTCTCGGTAGTCTTTTTTGTAAATAAGGAGGTCATTACCATTAAACCTAATTTAATAAAAGACATTTTTCATAAAATAATTCAGTAGCCAATAATACTTACGACAATCCTTCTTCGGAATACAAGTTCCGTTATCTGCGCGGACAAATCCTTCTTTACAAATACATCCCTTAGTGCAGCGTGTGCTATCGGATTTCAGACAAGGCATCGGGAAGCCTAATTGTGAACAGTTCTTCGGAGTACAGTCATCGTTAGTACATTTTGAAAATACTTCGTCTTTTCCGCAAGGTTTCGCTGTCAAATTAAGAAGTTTTGTATTGAATCTAATTTTATTCTTGTGGTCAACTAACATTTTTGTACACCTCAAATTCCTAACTCCTAAACGCATTGGTCACTCCTCTAGTATTTCAGGTGTCCATGGGCGGCACCGATTGCTTACCTTTATAAGATCCTAGCCCATAAAAAATCAAATTACCTAAAAGTTTTATGACGTAAAATGAGTAGCAGCTTAATACTTGAATGTATTTAAAGAAACTAACAAAAGTTCAAAATTGAAATAAATATTACATGATTATGTGAAAAATAATAAACATGGTACTACAACTATACTTAATATTAAAATACTGATAAAACAATAAAAATCTGACGTTGACTCCAAGTAAACATGTAAAACAATTAATTTCTACAGCGTAATAAATAAACTGTTATGTTATTTGCAAAGTAACTATATTATTTACTTTACATGGATTCGTACACGAGTCTATAGATTTTTTATAAAAGAAACACCTGTTTATATTTAATTAAATAATGATAAACCGTGGCGACCATTGTAAACTTTGTCCTTTAAAAGAATGGCATGCGTAAATGACTATTGATGAAATAAAACAGTCGTTATGCTGTAGCTGATTTGCACATGTAGTATCTACGTTTATGAGTGGCTTTAGCAAATTGATGAATTTTTATTGAATTTATATATATTATATGTCGCTATCATCTTCGACATAAGAAAATGTAACAATGGCATTACGTGAACAAGATTGTTTGAAAACTCCATAATTAGTTTGTAAAAGTAACTTTGTAACTGTTACAAATCAAATGAGTAATTGTTCTTAATGTAGTGGAAAAAAGTGTTAGTTGTAAAACTTACTGCATTCTTCTCGAGGAACACATGATTTTTGGTTCTCATCATAATAAAATCCATCTTTGCAATCGCAGGCGTTTGGATAGCATATTTTAGGGCATGGCCTTGTGATGTTAAATACATCAGAGCAGTGTTTGCCACAGTTCACACCACAGCCGGACCACGAATTATCATCGCCTCCACAAGATTCTGTGAAGAAATTAAGAAGCGTGGAGGATTTTTTCAAATAATTATATTCGTTCCAAATCCTTTATGGTTTTTACTAAACTCTCTTTAATTTTAACCCCTAAGCTACTACAGGTGACACTTAACTATACGTAAGTTTTGGTTTTTACTAACCTTAGATAGGGTTAGATTAAGTGCCTCCTGACGCTAAGTAATTCTTGTTTAAGTGATAACTTAGGGGAGTTTGGTGAAAACTGTAATTACTGATTTTTGTTGGTCGGTTTGCAATAATGTAGGTAAACTACCAAACGCTAGTCTAATCTTAGTTTACAGTTAAAAATACATGTAATAATTATGTAGACTATGACATAGATACAAACAAGTCTTAGAGCCCCTAATTATTTAACTATTAGCCAATTTAAGAAAATCTATCGGGAATTACAGTAACAAAAAGGTTTAAGAGTCACTTACCACAATCTCTCATTGGTACACATTCACCGAAACTATTTCTAACGTATCCATAATCACATATGCAACCAGGTTCGACATCTGTGCAGTTTATAGGGAAGCCTACTTGAGAACAATCCAAAGGTCGACAAATCTCTGAGCTACCGTCGTGGTAGATTGCGTGCTCTCCACAATATCCAGCTGTAAAAAAAGTGACGCTAAAGTAGTCTCGGTACACTGTTGTTTTTCGGCTTAGTCACGTAATTTTAAGTGAACAATGTATATGTTCTTATGAGAAATAAATTCTTTAAACCCACCCTAATTATTAGACGAAGCACTTGAATAGTTTCAAGCCATATTAGAGGCTTACATGACATACATGAGCAGCATTCCGACACACGCAACTAGCAGCGCGACAGTCACCGCGTCGTGTGTTGCGGAATGCTTATAATATGTGATAATATAAATAGCAAATTAAGTAAAAACGCGGGTTACTCACGTGAATATACTGAGAAAAGCTCTACTAGTTTCGAACCACAGAGGGGCTACACCGAGGCGAGCGCCGACGCCAGCCAGTGAGCTGCGCGACGCCACGACCGCGCACGCTGCTCATGAGGAAGAACCCCTCTGTGGTTCGAAACTAGTAGAGCTTTTCTCAGTATATTCACTTGAGTAACCCGCGTTTTTACTTAATTTAGTATGTCTCACGATAGTTATTATAAAAACATATAAATAGCATTTCACGTTACACTGATTTTTTATCTTTGTACTAGTTTATTGTATATTCTATCTACTAATTCAGAGCAAGCAATAAAGGTTATGGGTACCTAATGGCAAGTGGACACCGTAGCCTAAGTACACTTACAACACTAGATGTATATTTTTCACAATTACGCTGCGGACCATGTAAGCAACTGTCTAATTGGATCATGTAGTGTTTTCTTTTACTTTATCTTAATTACGTAAACAAAATCACTTACGACATTGTTCTCTCGGTATGCATTCACCGTTTTCATCTCTAGCATGGCCATTGATACATCGGCAGCCTGGCTTGCATGCATCGTCACCAGGTTGTGGTGGTGCAGCGCATCTGATCACTCTTGGGTCTACACTGCAATCTTGTGGGGGACACGGGTTTGGACATACGTCGTACACCTCATTTTTGCCGTAACATTTTGCTGTGTGAGAAATTCATGTTTTAGTAATTTGCTGTGGTCATAGCTGAATTCGTACATAATTTGAGTTTTCTGTAATGCTGATTCTTTTATCTATTGGACTATGAGAGAGTGATTGACTCTCACATCAATGTGTTTTAGTCCAGAAAATGTCTCATAGTTATAACATAGTAAATTAATATTTGACACAAACATAAAGGTGATTGTGATGAGTACTTTTGTAACCAAGATCTTTTGTAACTTGGATTAGCATTCAGAATATGGAGTTTTATGATAACTTATTGATAACTAGTGAGATAAATACAAATGAAGTCCCCCCTTACCGGTGTGTTTGTATGATGAAATGCATTATTGTAGAGAATGTTTACTTTCTGCCTAGCGCCATAGTAAAGAACAAGAGTGTATGTAACTAACTAAATTAACATTTGAAATGGCACTTACGACAGTCTTTCTCGTGTACACAGAATCCCTGAGCATTCCGTAGGTATCCGTCTTTACATCGGCACCCTTCCTTGCAGTCACACTCAGGTATCGCAGCGCATGACACTGCAGCTATTTCCACCCCACAGTAACGAGGTGGACAGTTTGATACACATGAGTCTAGTGTCTCGTTTTTAGGGCATTTTGATGCTGGAATATTAATTTATGTAAAAAAATGTTGCTATTAATATTTGCTGTCAAGTACAACATAATATGTATAATAAAACATAATACGTGTCTTATTAAAGTAATACACAGTTAAGGGCGTTATAAAAAGGTAGACGTATTCTCTTGAAACAACGACTGTGGCACCTGGCTACTATAGCGTTACACGCAGAACATAAACACATTGATACGAAGGACTTCTGTCATCTTCTTAAAGGTAATGTGGTAACATTTTGGTGCTTTAATCATTTTTAAGTGACATTATGTCCGCCTTATTTTCAATATCCTTGTGCACGGGTATTTTATTCCAATGGTTACAAGTTCCTTCACAACGTTTGTTAGATGTGACTGTGAGGCAGACTGTCGAATCTGCGTTACATCATCATGTTTTAAATAAGTAAAACTAAAATATGTATTGTAGGTACTTTAGATACTTACAGCATTTGTCAGGTTTAACACATTTTCCTTTTTTGTGATCGTAATAGAAACCTTTTCGGCAATCGCAAGCGTTTTCGTAGCATATTTCTTTACAAGGCACTGTGTGGTTGTAGTAATCGTAACAATGTTTGCCGCAGTTCGTACCACAACCTGATATTGCGTTACTATCTCCTCCACACGATGCTATGAAAAAAAATATGATTGCGATCTTTACAATATTTCATTGAACAATTCAATAATTATTGGTATTATCCACATTGTCACTAATTCGAAAACCTACAGTCAAAATGAAAACAATCAGGTACAACAATAAGTCCACATTTTAAAACATTAAACTAGAATTGTTCATCAGTCCGTTTTTTAGTAAACCTAGGTTATAGTTAGGCTAGCTGCTAGCTAAGGAGGAGGCGGAGCGCGTGAGGGAACGAACCTCCTCACGACCCGGCCGTCGCGAGAGACACTCCGGGCGTCGGGGATCGCGAGACGATCTCCGGCCACCGTAAGCACGGGCCTGCGGACGGCGAGCATGGGTGACTCGCCGCCTGACCAGAACCAGGCCCGTGCGTACGGCGCGTCGCGTTCCGCGCGCGCCTCAAGGAGCCATCAGACCACCACAGATGGGGCCTAACAAGGCTGATGCCGATACGGAGCCGCGGAAGACTTAACGGGTTGCCGGGGCTCCGGTTCGAAGTGCAGGTGTAGGAACGGGGTGGTTTTTAGTCAGTAAGAGTCTGACACTCCCTCCCGCCTCACCCAGGCGGGAGAAGTCATTGGATGATTTTCCCCCCTCAAAAAAAAAAAAAAGGTTATAGTTAGGCTCCTAGGGATGTGCTATAACAGGCGTTGCACCGTGGGGCTCTGGAGCAGGTCTCTTCAGAGCATCCGGTGCCCCTAAAACGTGCTGAAGGTGGCCACCGGGGTGGTTTTAGTGACGCACGAATTCCACACCTAGTCTTTTTGCCCCAACCTCGACAGCTCGACACTTTTTGAAGGTTTCCTCTCGTTATCAAAAAAAGGTTATAGTTAGGCTACTTTCTAAAATTTATTGATACTCACGACAATCCGTCATCGGTATGCAGTTGCCTTCATCATCCCAAACATATCCATAGTCACATATACAGCCAGCCTCTATAGAATCTGTACAAGGTTCAATGAACCCTACTTGGGAACAGTCTAAAGGTCTACAAATTTCTGTGGTGCCATCATAATAGATCTCATTCTCGCCACATGATTGTGCTGCAAGGAAGAATTTATTATGAAACAAGAAAGAACAAGAGTTATGTTAGTACAGAAGCTACTTACTACAGCAGATCAAATTGCTATGAGTTCTGAAATTCTTCACTAAATATCACTATTAAGTAGAAACCATAAAATTTTAAATTACAAATTAGACAACCGTGGCTTATAGTTTTTCAAGTGCATAAAACTATATAGACCATCGACGATAGATAGATAGATACGGTAGATAAACGACAGATTTACCTTTAAAAATAATCTTCTAAGTTCTATAAACGCATTAAGATTACTTACGACACTCATTCCTAGGTACACATATACCAGAAGCGTTTCTAGCATAGCCTTCAAAACAGCGGCATCCTGGTATACATCGCTTATCACCAGGTTGAGGCGGTGCAGGGCATTTGATCGTGCTTGGGTCTACATCGCAGTCTTGCGGAGGGCACGGGTTCGGACACACGTCGTATTCTTCATTTAGTCCGTCGCATTTAGCTGTGTAATAAGTAATAGTTTTAAAATGACTATTTGGTCTACTTACGATAATAATCGCTGTTATGTGGCATATTGATGTGCAATTTTATTCATCAAGATACAAGTACTAGTAACTTTATATCCTGTCGTTTACGCTAGAGAAGAATGAAGATTAGACGGGGATTAATCGATACGGATTTATGTCAAGAAAGCTTTTAGAGGAACTAGTACCATAAACGTGATACATAATTGAAAGAGAATACCAAGACTAGAATATAAGTAGGAGACAATTTTGGATAAATAAGCAATCAAGTAATACTTACGACAGTCTTTTTCGAGGACACAGTCTCCATCACCGTTTCTTAAGTAACGGTCTTTACAACGGCAGCCCTTCTTGCAATCGCATTCGTCTATAGGAGCGCACAATACTACAGCTATGTTCACACCACAATACCGAGGTGGGCAGTCTGAGACACATTCATCCAGTGTCTCATTTTTAGCACAGTCATATACTGTAAAACAAAATGTGGCATATTGACAGACTGGCTAACATAGAAATAAATTATGTACGAACACAAAATTAACGACTAAACCTAACACGAATCAATCCGTTATTATAATATTATGTGTAGAGACAATCATATACCATATGGCTTACTGATGGAAGGTGTTAAAATTGTTGCTATCATGGAGGATTCGAAATCGGATTAGCCAATAGACAAATAAAACAAAAAACCGTGAATGTGAATACCTATGGATACTCACTACTCAGAACTCACAGTTTTGACTGTTAAACCGAGTTCACTACATAGTATAAAACAAAAGTCGTTTTCCACTGTCAGTGCCCAAATATATTTAGATTATTTAAGCTACGCAACGAATCGATGCATTTTTTTGATAGAGTGATTGTGAGTGACTCGATTAAATTAACCCGTCGAGCGACCGCGTTCCTTATGATCCAACGGGTGCACACGTGACATTTGGAGCATTTTTTCTTATGATCCACCTGGTGCTCATAAGGACGCTCGAGGGGTTAATGTGACAAACGGTGTTAGGGTAGTTTCCTAAATTTTATTATAATGTCCGTCTGACAGATTATAACACGTATTTTTTCTTTTCTTAAAAAATTTAATACTTTCGACGACATATTAATTTGAAATATCGTGTGACGTCACAGCGTGCCACATTGTGTAACACGTTATGATGTAACGATCTCCCACTCCTAAATTTAGCGCCATTTTATCTAAGTACTGCAACTTAATACGAGAAAATAAAAAATACGTGTCTTATATTTCTTCATGATAACTGACGGACTAATTAGATTTTTAATTTTGATACCCTCGAAACTACCCAATTATTCTGTTAAGAGCAAAATGGCTGAGAAGAAGAAGTTATAGGTAATGATAACTTACCACAGTCTTTCTCAGGTATACAAGTACCAGCTCTGTTCCTCACATGACCTTTAGCACATACACAACCAGGTTTGCAGTCACTGGAACCAGGTTTTGGCGGTGCTGCGCAACGAATCGCAGCTTTGTTGACCCCACAACGCTGTGGTGGGCATGGGTTGGGACACTCGTTGAAAACTTCGTTAGATCCATGGCATTTACGGTGAGCTGTTATTTAATTAATCAATTGCTTTAATAAATATAGACTGAAAATTTATTTTAAGAAAAATCTTGGTGCTAAATACTTTTAGATTAAGAGAGACTGATCCTTATGTAATTGCTATAAAGTATCTATTTACTAAGCAAGTTCAACGTTTCACCAATATATAAATTAATTGTGACTAAGACAATTACATAGTAGATAGCAATATTTACGAGGTCAGTATCATAAAACATTATCGCTAATTAATTACGTGAAGAATTTAGGTTGCATATATTTTATTTTCTTTTTATTATATCCCCCTTTCTGTACATTTATGATCAACTTTCTAACCAATATCAGTTAATTGTTATTATTTAAGGCAAAATAAATTAAAATTGATTATATACTTACGGTTACCACGGACTGCAGAATCTGGGTAAGGAGCGAAATTTCCTGCAAAATTCAGATCTCATAGAACATAACCACTTTTTACCGTAATTTTTATGGTAATTAATATCGTTAATATATGGGGAGCCAAAGTGGACAACGATGTCAATAATTTAACAGATTGTTGTCACAAGTTGGTGCTGATATTTTTATCTTTATTTTATAAGTTGGGCTTTTTGACAAGATACAAAATTCAGTTAGAAGTTAGTGCCTTATAAAGGTTAATAAAAATCACTACAATGATAACAAAACTTGATTTTATCAACAGCAAGTTTGATGAAAGTACTGCATACCTTCGGAAAGTGTTATGAAGCCCAAATTAGCCACCACGGCCCACACCACGAGTGGCTTCAACATTATCACCAGAATGGTGTATTCACGGGTTATCAAGGCTATTTACCTCTTTTATATATACACGACTTCGTGCACTTGTTTCAATATAAAAGGTTTAAACCAATAATGTTTCAGACGCCATATCACTGACTAAATGTATTTGTTCTTTTGTATGTTTTTTTAATTGTATACAAGTTATACATGTGTTTATTTTCCATGATAGGTAAACATTAAATGATTGAGTACAATTAGTGATAAAAGTTATGCATCATAAATCAATACATTATGTACCTACAATTTTATTGTTGTTGTTCTATTGAATAAAAAATAATTTTGCATTTTTTAGATTGACGTAGTTTAGTACCAACTGTTTGTTTGTAATGCAAAATAATATTATACAGGTAATATAGGTAACTGATGATTAATTAAATATATGTTACATATTATGCTAATATGTAATTACCTAGGTATAATAAAAAATAATTTATGCATTAACCCAAGGTCATATCTATTCTAGGTATGTACATTAAGTGCATGAAGTGTATTAAAAAATAAATAATTTGTTCATAGTATGATTTCAACCAAAACAGTACGGTTCAACAAACCAATCTAGAAGTTGTAATTGGTACACGAAAATAATGAACATAAACCCAACTATCCACCTAACCAGTTTTTTATATAAAAAAAAACTGTGCTTATCTTACAAAACCTTTGTTAATTGTAGGTATTAAAAAAACAAATTCTTGTAAATAATGTCATATTTTATTCAAATTAACAATTATACCCACGTGCCATTACATATACCAATTAACACTAAAGTTGCGATAATTTATTTGAATTCGTGAACGACTGTCTGTCGACGTTTAATGGATCACGATTACAATATATCGTGTGAAGATTCCAAAAAATGCGATAAATTGATAATATGAGAAGTAATAAATGCCTTTATTTATTTTATTTAATGACTTTATAAAATTCTTGGCCAGAATAGGGATGATGACAGGTATGAAAATTAAAAAAGTATTTAGTCCGTCAGTTATGTAATGGAAAAATATTAGAGTCATATTTTTTTATTTTGTTTTATTATAAAGTGATACCTACTTATATATAACTAGCTTCTGCCCGCGACTTCGTACGCGCAATCCCGATATTTCCCGATCCCGTTCTTGATTTTCGGTAAAAAGTAAAAAAAAAGAATTGGGTAAAAAGTATCCTATGTCCGTCTCCTGGTTCTAAGCTACCTCCCCACCAATTTTCATCCAAATCGATTTACCCATTCTTGAGTTATAAATAGTGTAACTAACACGACTTTCTTTTATATATATAGATGAATGAAAGTTTAGAAGTGGGGGCTAAAACGTCATTTCAATGTATATAAAATGTACATAGAAGTGACGTCACGCGACATTTCAAATCGAAATATCTTCGAAACTAACACTTCCCGTAAAAAAAAAAAATACGTGTCTAAAGTTTTTAAATAATCTACCAGACGCACATTAAAAAAAAATTGGCATATACCCTATTGCAAATAGTGAACTCAAAGTTATTTTGTACTGAGATTTAGGCATTGGTTTAAGAATCAACCATGCATCATTCAATTTCATTAACCTATGTATATACTTTTGGCTTCAATCTCTCTTTTGGAATAGCAAAAAGTCTATTAACTTTATAGCTAATAGGTAAGTCATGTAGAAAGATATAAGGTTTTGAATAAATAAGTAAATACAACATTAAAATAAACAAAGTATACTTTATTCATATTCTTCTTAAAATACAAAATTGTACGGCATATAATATTATTTCTATAAATTCGGAATACACTAACTAAAACACATCATACTTTACTTCGCTTACTTTTTCTAACGAGACCCTTGATCACTAAGTCTACTTATAAGATATTCTATATCTACTTATACACATATTATGTACATTACATTCTGATGTTTTCCATTCTAAAAACTAATCCATGCAAACATTCTAGCAAAACAATGCATTATTCCATAGATATTCAAACAAACCCGACATTTTCTAACTCTATAAAACCATCAAACACATCTAGATTAGATAATACATACTCTAAACATACTTTTGTTTTAGCTCCATATTCCGAAACAGTAATATTTGGATTAAATTAAGACATTAAACTTATACAAATGCGAGATAACTGATTACCTCAATGATGTTAGTTTCCCGCAAAGATTCCTGCTTGCAGCATAACTTCTTTGTGGAATAAGGAATAAACGAATGGATGATCGGCTTTGAATCTGTACGTCTGTTGTCGTCGAGGCGCTGGCGTTGTTGCTATTGGAGCAAATTCTATGGAAAAAAAAACGATGGTTTATACTTTTTTTGAGACAAACTAAATTTATTACCATGTTTTCGACTTTCGGCATGACTGCCTCGTTGGCCGAGTGTTCGTAAGGGCGACTGCCAGGCAAGGGGTCTCGGTATTACTGGGTTTTTTTTAAGAAATCTGATTAGTAGCACGGAGTCTGGAATTGTGCCCGGTATATGGAAATAGACCCCTATTACTTGCGACTCATAACATAAATAGTGAAAAGTGGGTGTTACATTGTACAGTGACATTTAAGTGCCATAATGTGCACCTCTGCCTACCCCTCCAAAGATAATAGTCGTGATGTTATGTTATGTATTCGGTTTACTCACTTAACTGTTTGACGAGGAGCTCGACTAGTTTCAAGCCATGCTAGACGAATAGTAGTACGACAGTTGCCGCGTCGCGTGTCTAGAAATGCTGCTCATGAATATGAGCCTCTAGCACAGCTTCAAACTAGTTACGTGAGTAAGCCGAAAACATAATAATTAATTTAAAAGAAGGATTAAAATCGTTATATAATTAGTCCTAGGAATAATGTTATAATGAAAATTGTAGTTCCTTGATTGTTTCTATCTAAATAATGCATGTGCAATTTAAATAGGCAATGTTATAATGCACGCAGCTAATGACGCATTTGATATTGTGTATAGGCTACATTATACTTAAAATGCGTCAAGAAAATGTGATAATCTCTATTCAAGTACTTTTTTTTAATTATTACTTGAAACAAAATGTTAGATGGTTATTCTCTTCCCAGGCCTTCCCTGGCGCGTCCGCTCGCTGTCGGATCAGGCAGTGTCCCGGGGTGGGGTTGCGTTGGCAATAAGCCTAGATATCGTAAACGCCTTTAACTCCCTACCCTGGAAGGCAATCAGGGAGGCTCTTGTTCATCACAGGATTCCTTCCTATTTGCAGAATATTGTCGGGGCTTATCTGCACGACCGGCACATTCGCTATGTGGGCCGGGACGGTAGCGTCCAGCGGAGGGAGATTACATGCGGAGTTCCACAGGGATCTGTCCTGGGTCCTTTATTGTGGAACCTCGCTTATGATGCGGTCCTGCGTGTCGAACTTCCCGCTGGTGTCCATGTCATTTGCTACGCAGATGACACGTTGGTAATGGCCAGTGGAAGTACCTTTGAGGAGACTATCCGGCTTTCAGAGCTCGGAGCGGCAAAAGTCGTGGCTTCAATCCGCGAACTGGGTTTGGAGATAGCGCCTCATAAAACTGAAGCTCTATGGTTTCATAAGCTGCCGAGGACCAAGGAGCCACCCAGTTCGTCAGTCCACGTTGGAGATGCGCAGGTCCAGGTTGGGCGATACATAAAGTATTTAGGCTGACCTTGGATGGTCGGTGGGGCTTCGAAGAACATTTCGAACGCCTGGTCCCTCGAGTTGAGAAGGCTGTGGGTGCTCTGCACAGACTGCTGCCTAATATTGGGGGACCTCGAGAAGAAGTTCGCCGCCTCTATGCGGGTGTCGTGCGATCGATGGTCCTTTATGGGGCGCCTGTTTGGTCAGCTCGACTGTCAGGCGCCCGACGCTGTAGAACGAAAATTTATCGTTTGCAGCGGAAAATGGCCATCCGCATCGCACGAGGATACCGTACGGTGTCTTTTGAGGCGGCAACTCTCCTGGCTTGCTTTCCGCCATTGGATATCCTGGCGGATATGGATGCCAAAGTTTACGAACAAATTCGTGCTGTCCGCCAAAATGGCGGTAGAGTGCCAGGAGTGGCGTTCGTTAGGCTGAGGCGGCAGGAACGGCGACACGCGCTTGAACGGTGGCGTGAGCGGCTACAAAAGCCGGAGATTTCATGTAAGCGCGTTGTCGAAGCCATTCTGCCGCACTTCGAAGTCTGGCTGAAGAGAGAGGAGCGCGTCTCCTTCAGGCTTACTCAGGTGCTGACCGGTCACGGTTGCTTTGGTGAGTACCTAAACAGGATTGGGCGAGAGGCCACGACAAATTGCTACCACTGCGGGGGTGACCTGGATTCCGCACAGCACACGCTCGAAGAGTGCTCAGCATGGGCCTCTGAGCGGCGGGTCCTGGTTGCCAAGATCGGGCGAGACCTGTCTCTACCAGCCGTAGTTAAGGCTATGCTGGCAGATACAGAAAATTGGAGGGAAGTGGTCTCGTTTTGTGAGACTGTAATGTCCCAAAAGGAAGCCGGTGAGCGGGGTCGCGAGAGGGCCGATCCAACTCGTAGAAGGCGTCGAGGAGGTAACCACCTTGATGCCTAACACGCCGAAATCCCGCCTGCATAAACTTCAGGCGGACCTTTGGGGCCACGGGTGCGTAGAGTGGGGACTCTAGGTGCCCACCTTGTGGTCTCAGGGAAGACGGTGGCACAGTGGTCACGTGCCGCCGTAGACAGCAAGGCTTAGAGACACCCGGCTCCCTAGGGATGTGTCGTAACAGGCGTTGCACCGTGGAGGCGCCGGAGCAGGTCTCTTATAGAGGACCCGGTGCCTCCATTCAGGTGTTGAGGGTGGCCACCGGGGTGGTTTTAGTGAGGTAAAAATCCCACACTCCCTAGTCTTTTATCCCCAAAAAGGCTAGGCGCCTTTTGAAGGTTTCCCCCCGTTATCAAAAAAAAAAAAAAAAAGGCCTTCCCTGGAGTTCTACGAACATTTCAAGATTAAAATTACCTAAATCTATTCAGCCCTTCTCGAGTTTTAGCGAGACTAACGAACGGAAATTCATTTTTATTTTTATAAATTGTTGACAAACACCTGCCAAATGAAGATTTAAGTTTTATGTGTATTTTTATGATTTTTTGCGTAAAGTGGCCTCCTATAATTGAGGAAGCACATAGTTTTTATGTTTTTCTAATGCTGCTCGTGTATTTTAAGTGTATTCCCTATTGAAGACCTAATTCAATAAAGAAATGATACTAGTAAATAATCAAATACTGTTTAAGTGATACATACCAACATCTCTGGTCTCTCCCATACCATATTCATCAACGTGGAAGGTAATCTTCTGAAGGATCTCGCTAACGTATGGCATTTCACAAGATGCAACGTTTTCCAGTCCGAGGGATGTATTACTGAATATCCTTGTTACTCCCGCCTGTATATGGAATTATTGCATTAAAAACGAGATAACTATGATAATAAGTGATACATAATTATCCCTATGTAGGGTATATTATGTTGGTATATTAGGCATATACCAACGCAAGTTTTAATGTGACTTTTTTCGAGTTATATGTACTTTCTAAGATTATTTAGACACCACTGACAAGCTGTGAAGGAAAATATCGTAGGGAAACCTGGATTTATAATTTCTAATTATTAGTTTGAAATCGCTAACCCGCAATGAGCAAGCGTGGTGATTAATGCTCAAACCTTCTCCGTGTGAGAAGAGGCTTTACTCAGCAGTGGGCATTTATAGGCTATTGATGGTGGTTGATGGTAGGGTATATTACCAATAATAATCTCTTTCTTACCTTTTCGGAAGGCATCTTCAATCTATTCGCAACAGATATTTCGAATTTGGGTAAGTCGATTTCGACCATTTGCATTGTAAGGCTACCAACAGCTGAATACACGACATTTGTGTTCTGTTGAAGTTTCTTTAGCAAGTCGTTCAAACCAATTAAACTGTTTGGTAGGAATATCACGAGACCAAACATTCCTCCTACGTAATCCATTTTCAGTATCTAGAAAAAAAACATTTAAATGTGAGTACGGAAAGTAGAGAAAAAAGAAAGAGAGAGATAATAAAACAGTAAAAAAGGCCAAATGCAAAAAGTTTTTCATCCCCTTTTGTAAAATGTTTACAAAATAAATTACACAGAAATAAGTTGCTACACATTCACACATAAACTTCATTTTAGACAATAATTTATTATTATCTAATTGGTGAATTACCTTAGCACCGAGTACGGAACTCTCTCCATACAGGAACGTATCTTTTTGATACATAGATTGAACCTAACTAATTCGTCCACTCCAGAAGAAATCTTTCAATGTTGTATCTGCTGGATTGAATTGTTTCTCCCATTTTCCCTGAAAATGAGATAATAAAGAGTAGGTACCTAAATATGTTTTTATCGCATGCAGTTTTTTCGTTGTTATAGTAATTTTGTATGTGTTACTATCTGGTAATTAAATCTCGCGTGATTCTATTTGTCAACTACAAAATAAGATTAAAAAGAGTGCATTACTTTATCAAATGGAAAAATATAGTACAAACCTGGAAACCTTCTGCATCTACCATAACCAGATGATCCAATGTCGATATCGTTCTTGTTTTCAAGTAATTTTCAAAGTTTCCGTTGGTCATGATTTCCACCTGAATAGAAAAATATTTTAGTATTTATTTTTATCTTTGAAATCAACCCTAAAATGTACACGTTCTAAACATTGGTAAAATTGCTGTAAGAGAAAGAAAATAAGGACATACTTCATCACTAATTGTCCTTGCAGCATCTGAAGCAGAGAAATCGAGGTTTTGTGGCGCTATAGCGAATATTTTCTCTGTATTCTGTATAAAATCGTCTGTCATTGCACAATCGTTATCAGCATAGATTTTGCAGAACAGGCTAAATTCGATGTCAGGATACTGCGCGGTAAGAGCAGCTGATATTCTTGGGAATGCACATGATATCTGAAAAAATAGTACCAAACACCATCAGCAATTTTTTTATGAGTTTCTAATACAAACATTTTATATTCACAACATACCCACTCATACCCTAAACTACAATTCGTGGACCATACAAAGAATATTGTTCCGTGCGGGAATCGAACCTGCGAGGTTGCGATACATTACACAACACTTAGTTGCCCAGTCAATATGTCAACTATGCAGTCAGCATTAACTAAGAAGATAATAATATTCAATCCGGAGACCCCTTAATAATAATCGACGCTCGGCTTCGCAAACTATGATCAATGCAGAATGCATATCAATTAGTTAACTGTGAAATTGCATGTCAAATATATGATCAACTAATTATACCCTGTTATTAACAGATATAATTGATAAGCGTTCCAAGAAACTGGCAATTAGATATTGATTGGGTACCATTTTATTTAATAAAAAGCTTATGCCAGCGGTTCGCCCAGGTTTTCATGGGACAAAAAGTAGCTTATTAATATATAATGGTTTGGAATACGTTTGGAACAGGGGTATATATACCCTTGTTCCAAATTTCATCCAGATTTCCTAGACCAATTTGACGTGATGAGTAACTTAATAATAATAATAACAAACATACACAAAAACTCACTCTCATGCTTACGCATTTATAATATTAGTAAAATTTGGAATGAAACAAATTTAATGGTTACATCTGCTAACCTGTTCAAGAACTATAAACTCTTTGTTTAAAGCCATTAAGAGATAGCCTAGGTTGGCTTGCCCACCGCAACGACACATCTGAGGAAGCGAGAAAATGACTCTGCTTTTGAAAAATTGCGTCCATATGTTAAAACTATGAACTTAGTCCGATATTTTAATAAAAGATAGTCATGTTCCAGATACGAATAATTAAGACAAACATGGTTTAGAATAAAGAGAAAAGTGTAAATTGTAGTGAAATAAAACTATGTTTATCAAAATCTAATTACCACACGCATACAGAAAGACACAGTCCAAATTACACAAAAAATATCTTATTTTTTCATATCAATGCCATAAAATCACTAACCTGTTCTGTTTCTTGAAGGTTGAATACATTTAAGAGTTCTGTCTTTGCCCTTCCTTTAGAATACAAAGCTAATTCACCCATCAGGTATAAGACGGATGCTCCTCCCACCATTACACTGTTTCCAGGATTTGATAGGGATATTTCCTGTCAAAATAAATAATAGTTAATGTAAAGAAAGCACAAAAAAGTTTTTTTTTTAATTTACTAGCAGATTTAATGTAACTGGAATCCTTTATTACAAAATATGGCAAATGGAAGAAAATGATTAAAGATATACTGACATATAATATTCTCAGGGTGTACCGTAGGCTTCCTACGGCAAATAATGGAATAGCTTCCTCCTCGCACGTCGGTTCTGCTGTCGTGGAAGTCGTTGTCGTGGACGTCATACTATTGGAAGAAGATTGCCTGCCTATGAAAGGACACCAAGAAATTTTCATTTTGTTTCTTTTTTTATGATGCATGATTTCAATTAAACATGGTGATTGTTTTCGAAAATGTTACTTACATTGCAATGTGCTCACACAGTTTCCTTCTGCATCCTTGTAAAAACCGATCATGCAGCGACATTCAGGTTTGCATCCCGAAGTCCTATCAGATGCTTGACATCTAACACCATTTAAGTAATCTTCACAAGTCCTTTGAGGGCATGACGGTGCGCAATCGAAGTACCATTCGTTGCGACCTTTGCAATCTTTTGGTCCTGAGGAATAAAAATTTTATATTTGCGAAAAATCTATAACTAAATGGTTAATCACTATTACACCTCAATAAGTTAATACTTTTTAGCAAATACGAATCCAGCCGAGTTTTGATTGAATGCGACTAAATGAAAGTTTAACAACTAGGTACATCAGCAATTCAGTAAGAAATTCATAATACATTTGTCTACTCCTGTGGCCAAGTACATTTATTACGTCTACACATACTGTACTGTTGCTTGCATTCTGTTGGCACCGAACAAGTTTTGCTACTCTTGAAAGACAATAGGAAATACTTCCTACGAAGTTGCAATTAACTAACGAACAATCACAAAATACCTTTACAACAATTCTGTTCACTTAGGAGATTGAAGAATGTTCTTCGAATGCAATCCGTTTTCTGTGAAGACACTATTAAATCAAACGTTTTGTTGCTTATTTTCAAGCATGTAGTGCGGTTGTCTTACATAAAGTTGGATATGTTCCAACCTCTACTAGATTGGCACAGCATCGATTCTACTAAGACCCTGGACAAGCAGTTTAAGGGATTATAGAAGGTCGACAAGTAAATAGTTAATCCTTGTAGCTGCAGGGCTTGGATTTACTACAAATATGTTATTTATTTTAAACTTTCTTTGTATAAATGTTTTTTTTTATTTCATAACACACATTTCTTCTAGTCATGTCGAGGTGAAGATCAAATAAGTAATTGGTTGAGATAACTTTTACAAAATAGAGTTATAAATAATTTTAGCTTATAGACATCCGAATAAATAATTGAGACTCAAAAGGGACTGAATTGTAAAATGTACTATATGTTTTGTAGAGGTACTTCATTTCGAAAGACATACTTACCCTTTGTAGTTGATGCTTCTGTTGTCGTCATCATCGTTGTCGTTTCACTGGCTGATTTTGTTGTAGTTCTTCTAGGTCGACGTGTAGTTGATTTCATAGTTGTCTCAGGTGCCGAACTGGTTGTCCTACGTTTTGTCGTGGTTCGCGCTCTTTTTGTAGTAGTTCTCGGTTTACGAGTTCTCCTTGTTGTTGATATAGGCGCTTTTGTAGTTGTTCTTTGACTACCAGAAGACTGTTCCGTTGTTCCTTCATTTCCAGAGCCTTCTGTTGTCATGCCTGTCTCCATTTCTTCTGTTGTTAACCCACTCTCAGAATCTTTCGTTGTCATATCTCCCTCAGTTTCTTCTGTTGTAGATCCGGTTTCTGATTCTTCTGTTGTCATACCAGTATCCATTTCTTCGGTTGTTGTTCCATTTTCAGAATCTTCTGTTGTTGTTCCGTTTTCAGAATCCTCTGTTGTTGATCCGTTCTCCGATTCTTCTGTTGTCATATTCGTTTCAGTTTCTTCTGTTGTTGATCCATTTCCAGAATCTTCTGTTGTCATATTCGACTCAGTTTCTCCTATTGTTGGTCCATTTCCAGAAACTTCTGTTGTTGATGCATTTCCAGAATCTTCTGTTGTTGATCCATTTCCAGAAGAGTCTTCTGTTGTTGATCCATTTTCAGAATTATCAGTTGTCATATTTGATCTTTCTGTAGTTGAATTTGACTCTCCACCAGATTCTGTTGTAAATTGCTCTACCTGTATACTTATTTTATTTTTTCCTGTAGTAGAACTTATTCCAGATCCTTTAGTTGTCATATCGGATCCTCCATCAGATTCGGTTGTAGTGCGTGATCGACGCTTGGTCGTAGTTCTAGGTCTGCGGGTTGTTGACCTTATTGCAGATCCTTCAGTTGTCATTTCAGACCCGCCAATAGATTTTGTTGTGGTTCGTGAGCGGCGCTTAGTCGTTGTCCTAGGTCTGCGTGTTGTGTAACTCATCACAGATCCTTCAGTTGTCATACCTGATCCCTCAGTAGTTGAATCTGACCCTTCATTAGATTCTGTGGTTGATGACGAATTCATTTCAGATTCTGTGGTCGTTTCTGGAACGTGAAAATATTAGACAAATAATTGCAAAGTATATTTTACGTGGCAGAGATATTGTTGTTTTTATATTTGATTAAATATACCTCCATCCATTCCATTGCAATCTGTTTCTTCTATATCGTCGGTGTTTTCATTTGTATTATCACAGTTGTTTTCACTGCAATCGTCACAAGGGTCTGTACTTTCATTTCCATCTTCATTTCCGGGAGTGCCATCAGTGCCTTCAGGTTCTGGCGCGTTCTTGTTACCTAAATTATAGAAATTCACATAATTAATCAAAGCCTTGTATATAGGCATATACACATTTACTAGCCATACTCTCACATTATTTGTATTTAATACAGAACTCAGGTTTAGCAATTGTACTTGTAAGCTGTTGATCATTGGCATATTAATAGAATAGGGTTGCGAAATAGGCAATTGCTTTAATTGTGTATTGGTTTTAGAATATTGTTTTTTGTAAGCGTGGACATTATTTTTATGACAAAAATAATTGCATGTTCGTTTAATTTCCAATCGATTCTTTCATAAACTCGTGCTTCACTGATAACAGGTTTATTTATCGTTTTTTTAGTAATCTACAAAATCCAAATTGAAAGACGAATTAATTCAACGGTACACGAAAAGCTTTTTTTGTGATACAAAAATGTATTGGTCAAATGAATTTTATTTTAAAAACCTTTCACCAATTCAAGTCCTCATACGTTTACCTATTCCGCACTGCCCACATGCCAACTGCGTCGAACAATAAAGTTTTTTATCGAGCAATATAGATCCCAATTGTCGGTTGTGTGTAAAGTGAACGCGGTACCAACCGGGGAAAAATTACATTCTACTCGGTTAAACTTGTTGGAGTACGGATAGCTACTGACTAACTTGCCGTTCTGGTAGTGAGTTTGTAAATTAAGCTTTTTTTATTCAACAATGCTTTACAAAACAGGTGAGAAAATAATTTGTTGTATTTATCTGACTTGGTGAATTAGTTTAAGGTTTGCTTTTTTTACTATACAATTTACTGGTAACTATACAATGATATTAATCTAACTGCATCCATAGATATGTTTCCTTTGAATACAGAATTGCAGAGGTCGTTTTTTCAGCGTAATCAATACAATAATAATTTCTATGGAATTACAAAACAAACAAAGATAAAATATCAATTTATGTAGTTTTATGGTTGACCTTTGCATACTTTTTAAAGTTTAATTTTTACTCAGCAGAATGAAACGCTGAGCGATGACTAGTTGCTAAACAAAAATGAAAAATTTAACTGTCCAGACTCCAAGTGAAACCAAGTGAAATAAATAGCTGTAAATAATCCGTGACGAGTTTTATGACCGAGGGGCAGCAATAAAAAAACTAGCTTTGTGTATCCACAAACCAGAAAGAGGTTCAGGTAAATAATTCAGGAGAATTAAGAAAGAAATATCTTAGTTGACCGTCGTTTTGTATCAACGTAGTGTAGGTATTTTACACGGTCGAATCAGCTACCTTGAAAGTTTTGTTACCCTTGTATGTTGGACCCTAGATATTTGAATAAACAAGTCTGAATTTAAAAGAACTTTGGTTTGAGAAATACGTTAGAGTTGGTTTTGATTAAAACTTGGGTATAGTTTGTTGTTTTATAGTTCTTGTAGCTGAGTTTTGATTTAAGTAAGTATTCGTGATTGTTCAGATGTTACGATCGATATAAAAAATGTAAAAGAAGTGTAAACCTAAAATAGATATTTACAGAAAACAGAAAAGTCCCCCTACTGCAATTTCCTAACTAAACACAATGAAGAGTAACTCAACAATTATTTCATAGATCCTTTGGAGTTGAAACTTCTCTAGCCTCGGCTTTAACTACTCATCTCACACTCGGAAAACATTCTAAATTATGCTACCAAACAAGAAAAGGTACTATTTCAGGTAAATCGCTTAATGCGCCGTAATGTTCAGAAGTTTTACTCGAGTTCTAAAACTTTATAATTAGCTAACAAACTATGCAGTGGCTCATAGAAATTATATTTGCTTAAATTAAGTTTCATACCGTGGCATGCTATTTTATTCGTCTGTAGTTTTTGTATTTTGCAACTAAGAAAATTATAGTGTTTCTTTGAAACATGATTTAATTTTTAATTTCAAAGAAACACTATATTTTTTTATTACTAAGTAATATAAAACACTGCAAATGCTGTTGGAATAACTTTAATGCATATTTGAATTTGAAATAGTTTATTAAAATATTTTATTTCATATGAAAATGATTGAAATATTTAATTAATTAAAGTACAATTGACAACAATACTTGCCTTCTTTTTCTAAATTTACGTTGTCTAAGTTATAACTGTAAATTTATTGCTGGTTTCAATGTGTGAACATGGTTTATTTATAACCCTTTCAGTACACACTAATGTGTAATGTATAATTTACGTAAGTGCACAATATACTACAGTAATCCCGCTTAAATATTCTTGCATTGTAATATTTTAGCACATCTAAGTATTATTTGTCAACTGTATACTATAGTTTGAAATGATTTACGATCAGTTTTAGTAATTAAGCATGAGATTTTTTTCGCTAGTGTGTTTTAGTGAAGAGAGCTGTGGTCACAGTAATTATACTGTGACCACATCTCTCATTTTAGTAACAATATATCCATTAGGATATCGTGTTACTAAAATCCTCAGAAGTAAATAAATGTCATCTTTATTTGTGGCATACAGTTTAGTTTGTTTTGGTATGTATCTGAATAAAAATGTATAACGCTTTTATGATTTTTGAACTAGTATCTACTTGGAATAGCCTGATATCAAATAGTCTAACCTATTTCAAATGCACTAGGTATGGGTAATTGTACCTGCTTTACTTGATTTAAAGACTTGTACTTACTGCAATCCTGCGGCAGGACACAAAATCCAAGGTAGTCATCGAACACGTAATCTTCTTTGCAATCACAATTGTTTGAGTAGCATACATCGGCACATATTACATTAGAGAGCATGTAGTTGGAACAGCGCCGACCACAGTTCACGCCACAGCCAGCTGTGGCGTTCTTGTCATTGCCACAAGACGCTGCAAATGGAGAGAAGAATTATAACTGGAAACTGTTCTTTATGGAAATATAGTGGATAAAATATGCAGCTTAAAAGTAACTAATCTATTAGAATCGTAGGCAAGCGAATAGAAGGACCTAATGGTTAGCGATCATCGACACCTTGAAGACAGTTTATTTGAAGTGCATTATTAAACGACACATCAGGCGCGTTTGAAAAAACCAAATAATACACGTTATTTGTAATTTCACTACTGTAAAATGTGGTAAATAGAATTGAAGGGGAGTATAGATTACAAGAGTAAGGGTAAATAAGTAGTGGTAGTTTGTTCTATTATCTATTTTATGTAGCGAAAACGACTAGACTATACTTACGACATTCCTTAGCTGGCATGCAGACTCCCTCATCATTTCTTACAAATCCTTCTACACAGATGCATGCAGGAGGTCCAGGGCAGGGTCCCGTCTTGTCAAAGTGATTCGAACACTGTGGGATTCCAACCTCTTCACATACTTGTGGCTGGCAAAGTTTTTCTGGACACTTCGAGTATCTTTCGTTGACTGCACACTTTCCTGGATAGGGTATAAGAAAAATATGAATTATTTTGCCCATTTTTAGCACTATTATGTTACCCATAATTTAGACTTACCTATTCAGATCCTCTACTCATATAAGATTGATAAATACCAATAATTAATACCGTCTTATCCTACTAATATCATAAGTGCGAAAGTTTTTATGTATTTCTGTTGCTCTTTCACGTTAAAACAGCTGAATGGATCGAGATGGCATTTGGAACAGAGGTAGACTATGGTTTGGAATAACACATAGACCACTTTTTATTGCACGGGAATATGGAACATGGGCGACGCTGCTGGCAGAAGCTAATACACTATTTATAGTGTAAATACTGTAAAATGGTCCATCTGATTATCCCTTCAAGGAAAACCTTGCTATGAAAAATATGCTACGCTTTGATTAATAGATAAATAACTGGCAAATACCATATCGTTTTGCTAAACAATGCTACTATATCATCATACTTGAAAAATCACTTGAACAAATATCGAAGTGTCAATGTCATTTATTCACGCGATTTTATTAAACGTGATTTTAATCAACACGTGATTAGTTTTACGTAACATTAATTAAACGTGTCAAAATAATTTATCATGGAAAATTGGACAACCATATAGAATGTCACCAATGAATTTATGAACATTTAAAAAGTAGAAGCACACTATATAATGTATTTTAATAACATTCTTATTAGGTACTACACCGGTAATGATGACTATAGTTTGAATTCCTGTTACGGCGGGAAATATTTCTTTTCTAGAGGTTACAAGGGTCCATTAATATTATACTTACTGACGTGATGTTCAGTTTTGATTATGGTCGTACTGCTGGCTGCTGCCGCTGCTGCAGCTCCAGCTGCCGCCGAACCATTTTCTACAAGAAAATAAATGTTAATTTATTTATTATTCATGTCCCTCATATTCCAACTGGACATTATTCCTGTGAGTTAGTGCCAGGAAAAGAAGATATGAGACAAACAAAGTAAAATGGGCTTAAAAGTTTAGTAGATTCAATGTTAAATTACCAAAATATAGCTGTCAATTTCGGCAGTTACTGCAAGTTATGCTTACCTTTTCTAAAATAATTTGTGATCTACCATTAACATTATTTTATTTAAATACTATCCAATCTCTCAATTATTAAATAACTGATGACAACTACATTTTTAAACTAGAATTCACAACAATATTTTTAAAGGTTTTCGCTATCGAACTTAAGAATTTATTGTTTCTAAAGTAATTACTATTTAATGTTTTCAAAATAGTTTAACAGTTTAAGCAAATGCAATAAAATAGTGACAATACTTTTAGGACAATACTCTTACGACTTCTAGGTTTCTTTTGAGTGACCGCGTTAGAGTGTACCAATAACAATAAAATTGTAAAAAAATAAAAGTCAACTTAATTTCTATTTTAAAACTTATAATATTAGAAATTTTAAGCCCAGGTTTCCCCACGATGTTTTCCTTCACTATTTGTCATTGATGTCTAGATAATCTTAGAAAGAACACATAACTCGGAAAATGGCACATTGGTACTTGCCGTTGGTAGGTTTCGAACCCGTGACTCACACATGAGAACCGGACGTCTTAAAACTCCGAGCTACCACGACGAATGATTTTTGGATAACTACACAATATTAAGGTATCCTTTAGCTGATGAAACTTTAAGCTACCTGTTAGTACCCAATTACAATCATCTGTTATTGAGTATTGAAATTCGTGTCTCCTTGTTAGACAATAATTTCAACATGTTCAAACATTACCTAAAATATTTTATTACTCTTACCTCCATTTTCCACTACCACTCCACTTGCAGCTGCTGCAGCGACATTACTCGTGATTATCGTTGTCTCAGATTCTTTTGCTGCAATGAAATTAGATATTATAATATGAAAATTATCATGTTCATGATATTAGGTATACTTCACAGCCATGAAAAAAATTTTTGGTCATGGTTGTCACACTGCAGAGCAAAGGCCTTCCATGAATATGGTCATGATACGGAGCGAGGGAGATTGGGATGCTGTCTCCTCCTTCTGTGAAGTAGTCATGCTAGCCAAGGAGGAGACGGGGCGCGTAAGGAAACGAATTTCTTTATGCCCCACCCGTCGCGGGAGATTTTCCGGGCGTCAGAGATCGTGCGACGATCTCCGGCCACCGTAAGTACGGGTCCACCGGTGCGTATGGCGCGTCATGTTCCGCACGCCCCTTATAGAGCCATCAGACCACCAGGGGTGGGACCCAGTAGGCTGGACTGATTCTCGATACGGAGCCGCGGAAGGCCTAACGGGTTGCTGGGGCCCCGGTTCGAAAAGCAGGAGTAGGAACGGGGTGGTAAAACCCTCCATGAACATAAATAAAACAAACCTTTTGTTATGTCTATAACAGAAACGTAAACGGTAAGATTTTCACTGAACATAAAAGTTAAGACTTAAGAAAGATACCGAATTAACTTGCTGGTTCTCTTTCGTATAAACAGCTGTTTTATTCATCGTTATTGTAGCATAACGAATCCAATTTTAATTATTAGTTTGGTAGTTAAACTAATATAAATTAAAACGGTATTCGTTAAATATTAAAAAGAGTTCATTGTAACACATTTTGTAACATAATAATGTCTAATACAACTATGAATTAAATTCCAAATTATAAGATACAAGTCTTCTCAAATACACATACACACACGCACCCACACATTACACGCAAACACACACATACACACACAAAATGCACCAACGTGCATTATATTCCAATCACAACTTGGTTAAAAGAAGTAAAGAAAAAATCCAATTGGCGTACCCGAAGACACTAATGAAAAGATATTAGCCAAAACGGCTAATAAAAGTAGTAACTTCCACATTGTCAGAAAACGTATTCGAATGTATTATCAGCCACATTCCACCTTTTATATGTACTGTCTTACTATTTTATATTAGTTTAATTTGCGGATGTAACACTTTATAGATCTACTTTGTACGCAGTATTTTATTTAGTTAGATACTTAATTGATCATAAAATCAAGTGATTATTTGTGTGGAACTTACCTAAACTTTGAATTGCCTATGTAGCTAATTAGTTTGTTCGTCTATCGTATCTTCTAGGCAGATGAGCTAATGCCCTTATCTCAAGTCACTTTAATTTACATTTTTCTCGATTCGACGATTCGATATAGATTCATTTTCGTAATAAATATTATTCACACTATTATGACTATCGCTGCTTTGTAATTATATAAATCTATATTTGTTTATTGATGCACAAAACCCAAGATATTGGAGTTCTAGATAAATAAATTACAATTCACTGTAAACAATTATAGGTCTAGGATACAAGGTACCTAATATTATAAAGAAAATAAAATCTGGGGTAGTCCAGCCAAGCTTTACCAAGTTACTAGCGAACTACGGGGAAATATTTGTATCATTCAAACAAACATTTTTAAACAAAAACAGACATGTCAACAGCAATTTCAGAAGTAAAAAGGATCCTATTTATGGTTGTGTACAAGCGTTTATCTTTAAAGTTTTCTAATAATGGACTGTAGCTAAATGGCGCTGCCAAAACTTTACCGCTTTATTTTACAGAATAGCCGCGAAACGAAATCATTTAACGTTGGCAGTGAGTTGAGTCCTGGTAAAGGATAAATACCTGACTCCTCGACTCCCTTCACTTTGACGTGACGGCAAGGTTCGTGTCGACTTGTTAGTGTTTTCTGTGTGAAGTGCCACGTCTATACACCCATTATACAGTTCGTAGGTCTTTGATTGATGTTCAAGGAACTGTAAAAGTTTGGAGAGCATAGGGAGTTGTTTTATTTTTATAAGAAGTTTTAACTGTTCGAATTAGATGTAGATATAATGCAAGATTTGTGATGAATAACAAAAGAAATGTGACAAGGAGTTGGCAAAGATAAGATGTAAACATATTATTCTTTCATAATTTTCTCAAGTACGCTTAAATTCATGCATCAATGTTTTTACTCTTCTCTCAGTATGTATTTATACAACGAAACCAGAATTTCAATTATCCAATACATACAACCTAGCTTCGACTATTTACCTTGGTTCCCCAACAATTCATTTGAAAACAATCTACGTGCATATCCGTGACTCACTAATCATTTCGGCAATCAGAATCGCTTCAACGCGAACGCAGCTAATGGAAATAGTGACTACCTAGCCATACAGCCGCACTGAATGCATGAATGGCGTCGGCCTACCATGAATAATTTTGAAACGATATGTGGTTAATAAAGATGGTTTTCCTCATGAGTAGGTGTTTATTTAGGATAAATCAAACTATAACTATAACTAGTATAACTATTATTTTATCTCTAATTTTTAAATTATTGAGTGCTGATAGCTAATCGTTAAATCGTGTGTCTAGTGTGGTCTACTTTTGCACGAGCCCGCGGACGGCGAGCACGGGGGACTCGTCGCCTAACCAGAACCAGGCCCGTCGGCACGTCGCGCTCATGGAGCCGTCAGACCACCATAGATGGGACCCAACAAGGCTGATGTCGATACGGAGCCGCGGAACACTCAACGAATTGCCGGGGCTTCGGCTCGAGGTGCAGGCATAGGAACGGTGTTGTTTTTAGTCAATAACAGTCTGACAATCCCTCTCACCTCACCCAGGCGGGAGAAGAATTTGGATGATTTTCTCCCCTCAAAAAAAGTGTAGTTACTTTTATATGTAGCACAAACGATGTTTACATCTATCATTATATAGATTCCATTCCTATATTCCTAGTTAGTTATGTGCCTAACAAACTCTAGATAGACAAATCCTTTGAGAATTATAATAATAAAAGGATTAAGTTAGAGTTTAGGTTTTGAATGACATAATACCCTATTTACCTATTTTTACTCCTAGTAAATAAATGAAGAAAATGGTTAACTAAAAATTTTTAGTTAATTTAGTATGTATCATAGTTATTATAAAAACATAAGAAAATGGCTTTTTTATGGCATAAGCCGAAACGAGCAGACGGATCACCTGATGGTAAGCAATCGGCGTCGCCCATGGACACCTGGAACACCAGAGGCGTTACAAGTGCGTTACCGGCCTTTTCGGGATAAGGAGTTTGAGGATCGTTGGGGATTCAGGGATTGGGGAGATTCACACGACACACGACGACGACACGACGACACGAATGAAGAAGAATCATCACGTCGTTTTTCTATGAGGCCGTGGTATCACTCCGGTCGAGCCGGCACATTCGTGCCGAAGCATGGCTCTCCCACACTTAATGTATTTTTAAAATCGTACAAAATTGTTCGTGTGTGCTCGTAATCATGTCACTCAGCATTATTTTAAACGTTAAATTACAAGTTTACTATAAAAACGTAATCATATTTCATGTGTAATGTTTTCGTGATTTTATAGTAGGCGAGTGCAGCGAGGCAGCGGTTGATTCAAAAAGCGCGTGCTTGAATCAGATACGAGGGAATGAATCGAGGGGGCGTACCACCGAAGGCACATGCTGCCTCCCATTAACTTGGTACAATTGCTCTACAACATAATTTTGTTTCCATCAAATAAATGAACTGTCGGAAATGAAAAAATAAATCAAATTATACTTCGAGTGTTGGACAAAGAAATAGTTAGTAAGACTATTATTTAGAGTTAGGGGCGAGTGAATGTTTTTCTATTTTATTATTCGCCTTATCGCATGACAAATTAATATTTGTTAAAGTGAAAATCTCTAGACGAAGTCGAGAGATAAGAAATATTTACTTAAATATAATTGCGAACGCTTACGAATAAATCATTTTAAATTAATACTATACAACGTAAATATTTTACGATAGCAAAATTTATAACGGATAAGGTACATATTTTAAAATGTTTAATTAAATTCATACGATATGATTGAGTACCGACATTGGTAGCAGCTACCTAATTAAAATAATTAATTTTAGTTTGAATTAGCTGAGTAATTATCAGACATGGTATTCTAATTATTGAGAAAATGTTCTTGAAATTGGTTTCAAAGACAGCATTAAACTAATTAAAACAAGACCTCAGACAGGCATAATTAACATTCTGAACTTTTATTGTTCACAAAATCGGTTAATTGCAAGTTTAACGAGTAATTTTTCGGTTACATTAAAGTTTACGTCTCGAAAAGTAATTTGCAACACAATTGCGTGGCTGGTACGTTACCTACGTGATAATTTAGTGCGATAGTGAAAATTTCATTAGGTTAATAATACGATGGCAGTGTTTTGAAGGAATCATTAATTTGTCGGTGCATTAACAGCGTTGGCGTGATCGATAGTACCCTGCACGTTTGATGAATTGCTGTTGAAGCAGTATGACGTCGCCCCTAGCACCGTTATTAAACTGGCTTTATAATTCTTATAATACACTATTAATGTTTCAGCTAAGAAGTAGCCTGAGGTAATTTACTGCACAAAAAATAACTTTATGACATTAAAGACTTCGTGATTGGATTTTCACATGAATCATGATGAAATTACTGTTTAACAACTTCTACATGGAAGTGTTATACGTTACGTGATGTTATATATATTTAGGTATATGAGGGGTGAACAAAAAGTATATTCGTGGTGCATTCAACTGAATTAACCTATCTTTAGACACAGAAATCACACCATAAAAGCGCTCTGTCGCCATGTGAAAGAAAGACAGATCTACACATTTTCAGAATAATAATAGTAAGAGTTTCAGTTATCACTAACAAGTCAGATTTATCGGAGCTCAAAAATATAACCTATGTTGTTTTATATCGATATAGTGATTTTATGGAGATACAATCGATTGAATCTTTACGTTGTATAATATGAACTATTACTATATATTAAGAGATGTTTCTATTATTAAATATACCTACATAATTATGTTAATTCATTAGAACTTCCATTTCTATACATTATATATTTTCTAAATTCAATGAGTAAGTACAATTCCTAGTTCCATCACGTAGAATAACTTACATGAAATATTTCATAAAATAACAACAATTCACAATTGCAATCTCATTAACTAAAATAATAATCAGAACAGCAAATCTGTGATGATATTATGATGTCTACATTGTTGTAATTTATATGTTACAAATGACAATATGTTACATGTATAATTTTGTATGGTACATTTAAACAATAGTTAATTAGTGAAGTGTAGTGTAGGTAGTCCTAATTACAAAATATCGATTATGATTTGTCCTGATTAATTTTGAATAAAATGACCCTTTGGAGATCTTGTTGTTATTAGTAAAACAACTTGTTGTCGTAGAACGAATGAATTTATTAGCCGGAGGTGGTTCTTTTTATACAAAAATTGGTACTTGTGCTACTTAAACGAATTCTGTACATTTACATTATAAATAAATAAAATGTATTAATTACACCAATAACATAACCTAAAATTATAGCCAATAGCGTTACACTATTTAATGAATGGTAAATAGTAAATAATAAATTAAAGTTTCAAAACATTCGACAGTGCAGGTAATGTCACGGTATTGGTTCTGTTCTACTATTTACTTGATTAGGGGTTGTTTTTTGATTGTATTATGTGAATAATGGATGAAAATGTGAAACTTTTATAGAACAAATATATTGAAAATACAAACTTGTAACCTGAAAATATTATACTCGAAATGAAGTATTTTTACTAGACACAGTAAAACATTATATGAGTCCGTTACCTCTGTCATAATCAGTTTTAATTGAAGTCGGGCCACGATAAGGCCAGTGGATGTTCACAAATTATGCTAGTAAATTTTATGCCCATTTGCATGAGAACTGAGCGAGCGTGTGCACGTCTACACGGTTTGCCAGAACCTTAATGGCTGAGCTATTTAAATATCTTATAGCCTGTATCTCCATTCAATTTCTTTATGCAATCAGTAGCTTTGTGAAGAAATTTGAAGATATTTCTTATGGTATATCTTATGTAGCTACTCATGTAGTATGTAGTATCACCTTTTGGAGACTAAGAATAGAGGGATGGCATAAATATAATAAGTTTTTAATATCTCTGTGGGCGATGGAGTCACTCAGAAAAATATTAGTTATATTTCCTGTTAGTTATATGTATACATACATACATAACCTCACACTTACCTCCCATGGGGGTAGGCAAGTAGTTTGATGTAGTTGGTACTATTCCTAAACAAACCAAATACAAGGTTTACTTATTTGTATACCTACGTAGCAATCAATTTGCTTCAACATTTACTTCAATGTTTTGTTACTTAATAAGTACCTACTTTCGGTTCGTTAAGGTACATTTTACCCTAAAGGACAAGTTTCTTTTACATTAAATTCCGAACGAAAATAAAGTGGTCCCAATATCCTAAACAAATGCGGAAAAGATTGAGCAAACATAGGACTAATCAAAAGAAAATAACAAATTGGTACTTTCCTTCACATTGAGTACCTGCGTCAGTATAGGTACTGTTTTATTTTTTCTCGTATTAGTAATTCGTTTTATACGGTTAGTAGGTGTACAATATTAATATCCTTAAAACGTTTTTAAGTGTGGTAAGTATTATCAATATAGTTTCGGGTTATGTTACTTCACAATTAAAACACATACTACTGCTTACCCATTATAACACAAATGATAACAACTAACTTTCATAAATTATTTAAAAAAATGAGATCATCATCACTTTGACTTTGAAGATTTAAAAAGATTATAAAAAACAAAACTTTATATTCACCAATCCAACCTAGAACCGCTATGTGATGAAGGTATTTATACCTACTATAATTAATTTATTATGACTCTCAAAATCATTCACACACGCTCTGAAGGGATCCTGACCACATACTCAAGCAAGCCTTGGATTGGAATCCCCAAGGGAAAAGAAAACGTGGCTATCCTCGGCAAACCTGGCGTCGCACCGTACTGGCAGAAGCGGAGAGTATTGGTATGACTTGGAGTGAGGTGAAGTGTGAAGCTCAAGACAGATCGCGATGGAGAACTTCAGTGGACGCCCCAGAGGGCGTCTGCACCTGGATGGGGCAGAGCCCCATCCACTGCCCCATCCAGGTGCCACATGATATTAAGTCATGTAAGTCTCAAAACCATTACATCCCGAAAAACGAAGTGAGTAATATGTTACAATACTCCATAATGAGGTTATTTTAAGCCAAACTTTTCTCTACTAATTTTATTTTATGTAGGTACCTACATCGTGGCCTTTTGTCATTCCGTTCAATCAGTACCAGCTACATAAGTGATTGATTTTTGAAAATCGGTGCCTCTTGTACGTTGGTACCATTTACTTCTTATTATTCGCTTTGTGGCCGCACTTTGCCTATTCACTGCTTGGATACAATGAAGTACAGAATCTAGATAAGTACTTCTATACAAATTGCTTGAAAGTGTTGTAGTGTAGTTCTTTATAGTGCTACGTCATTGCATGAGTGTGTACCATTACAGTGAATTATGAGTCTGAAAATAGGTGCGTACTTAACGCATTAGAGGTTTTTGCGGTGATTTTTATCACTGTTTTCTAGAGTGATATTTATTAGGTACTTTATTTCAGTTGAATAGAATTTAATGTAAGTGAAGTGTAGTGAATCAGTATTTTATATCTTTTGAGTAGGTAATGAAAAATATGACGATGAGTTTTTAAACGTCAAAGTTTTGGACAATAGAAGCCTTTCTAGCCACCAACTATTTCCCCGGAATTAACCGCCGACGTCGAGCATTGTTCTCTTTCCAATATACGATCCTTTTGTACGCGTGTTACACTAATCTTCATAAATTACATTTTGATTAAATTTTATTGTTGTTCGACCTTTAGGAGTCACTTTGTTACAGCGACTGATATAATCAGTTTAGATAAATCTTCAGATAGATTCTATAATCTTCCTTGTGATTTCGTCGGCTTTCCCATTATCAATTTGTTTGGGTTTAAATCACATGGAAAATGTAGTAAGGAATGTTTTGATATAATTATTTTTATACTTAAAAGAAGTATCTACTCGCTCAAGTTAAAAACCATGCTGAGGCACTAGATTTTTATTATTATGTCCAAAATGTTGATATATTGGGCCGTATCATGACACAAACAATTAATTAAGTCACCTGTAATATTACAGGGCTAGGTTAAAACTCTAGGTTCTGCTGTGCACGAACAAAATGATATACGAGTATTGTAATAATACCTGTTATTAAAGTACATACGTTGACGATTAATAATAAAACACTGTAATGTGTAAAGCAGTTTACATTATAATTTAAAATGTCTATTGTATACAAAGGGTTAAATTTAGCTGACTATATATCAAGTACCTAGGTAATCTGCCTTGTCGTGGAGTATCTAAAGGGTTACCGGGGCTCGGGCTCGAAGCGCAGGAGAAGGAACGGGGTGATTTTTAGTCAGTAAGAGTCTGACACTCCCTCCCGCCTCACCCAGGCGGGAGCAGGCATTCGATGATTTTCCCCCTTTAAAAAAAGGTACTCTGCCTACACCTATAAGGAAGTAATAGTCAACCACTTTCATTGAGTACACCACGAAAAAATAAAAACGAATAAATAAAACAAACTTGTTTCGTAGCACTTTAAGGAATATGTGTATGTCTATATATCTCTTTATTGAAGACATAACAGTGGCCATATAGTTTACCACTGGGAGCGAGGAGGACACACAGTTGCATAAAATATCCATTATAGGAAAACAATGGGCTGGTATCAAATTCATTCCCACGGGACCTACATACTGAATGTGAGTTTTCTATACATTCTTACAATCCGTGACCATTTTGCTGTGTCATGAATACGATGGTTAATTTTTTGTGTTATTTCTTTTCGACCTTTTTTTCGATACACGTACAAGTATCTTTATACATAACAACAGGAGTTTTTTGAAAACACAAGGCTTATATAGGCAACTGTATGTTTTTTTTTGGAATGTATCAATGTCATTTACTTTTCTTTGAAGGTGAATTTAAAAAATACAAAAATCATATTTTTAAAACATAAGAAATCCGGCTTTATGTGCCGTCTTTAAGTATTAATTGTCTTTAAATTAACATAAACATTAATTTCATATATTAATAATATTACTCGGAATTTACTTTGAGGCTTGTTTTAGAATACATTTGGAGAAATTGTCGTTAAGTGACATACAAATTCCAAAGAATTGAATAAGTGAAAAAAGAAACTTTATGAGTTGTCTATTAATTAGCTACGTAAAATACGAAATAAAAACAGTATTTGCTCTACTTAAATTTTTTTCTTTACTGCTATGCGTATTAATGTAGGTTTTTTTTAGAAAGCTTGAAATTAAATTAAGTATCTTCAAAGTTACGTAATTTTCAGCACAAAGAACTAAAAAACTAGTTCAAATCTACAATGGTTCAGTAATAAGAATCTTTCTAGGACATAGGTTTCCAACGCTTAGCTTAATAAGAAATACTTATCGTCACACTGACAGTAAAAATAGAGTATCTATTTATGCCTAGATTTTATCAAATTATCTCCAAAAATATCTAACATAAAATACACTTCAGTTATGAAACTTTTTACATAACTATAGATATTCGCCCGCGGAACAAAAACCGGGTAAGAATAAATTTTCTCATAAAAGCGGACATAACAAGGGTATGGAGCGGAAACGACTATAACTTAGATGGAGATCGGAAGACCTTTTCTGACGGACTACATATTTTCGGAAATCAATACGTAAGCAATGTAATTTACATACGAATTCCGAGGAAGACGTCTTAGCCAAGCTTTTTAGTTATATCTGATCCAGTTATCTCCGCCATAAGAATGGAGCTCTGAAATGCCAATAGACTACTTCTGTTACATTAGAGGAAAAATAAACTACGAATTTGAAATTATACATTCCATAAAACTAATTTCTTTTAGGGAGTGCTCTAGCACATCATCGTGAATACCTACGCCATAAAAGAAATAGAGAAACAAGATATTTGAAGTCGACGTAGCAATGTCACTGCAAATTACGTTAGATATTTGAAAATTGCTTTTCGCCAGTAGCGGTTTTGGACGCAGTTGTTTAATTGTCACGGGAGCCCCAGGACAATTATTTGGTGTCGGCCCCAAAGCGCATAATTTTGGCAAGGCGGTTGACTTGTCAAGAGCGGAACGTAGGTCGGTAATTCATCCATCATTTGTCACCGATTGTCGGGCGCGCGCACAGCGATGACTTTTTTACTACACCGAAATAGCCAATGGTTAGTTGTCCAACTAAACAGTGCGAACAAACGCGGGGCCGGGTGTTCCGCGTAATAGATTACAGTGTCACTCTGGACGACCGTTGTCAACGACCAGCTGCGAAGCTGTCAGCCGTTTCTGTACCAAAACAATTTTATCCTGTCCCCTCACTGTCGTATCGCAATCTACTTGATTTTAACGAGACTACATCGTGGCTGTGGGAAAACTTAGAAGATTACGGACGGATTAGAGGGTTGTGGGGTGCTATATTTTGAATGTTATTGGGACTTGGTTTTCTGTATGATAAAGTTACTCGGGAGGGTTAATTTTTATAAGGTTTTCTCGTACCCGAAAAGTTGTACAAAGAATAATAAAATATGTGCAAAAATGTAATCCATGTTTATTATACAGTCAGGTTCATATTTCAGGTTTTCAGTTTGTATCGATTGCATTTTTATACGCTTTAATGCAAGAGCTATAATTTCGTATTCTATCAGATAAACTTGAGGGCATTTTAGCACAAGGCTTGCATGAACTTTACACGGAAGCAAGTGCACACGGTGCAGCCCACACGGTGTCTATATCTATTCTCAGATCTTTCAAATCTTCCTTTATTATAGTCAGGTACGGGTATATTGCAGTTATTTTCGAAAATTTCAAAATAATTTTTAAAGACAGGTAACATTATGTAACGTTGTTTAATTATAAGCATATTTTTTTATCTATCTCCACAACAAAGCCATTTTAATCAAAGCAAAACTTGTTTCTAAGAAAAAAAAAATACAAATAAAAATATAGGTGTTTGTAATATTATAATAATATCCATAACTTAAAGCGATGATTGATTAGCAAACAAATGGAGAGGTGTACAAGAAAGTTTCAACCATTGGAAAGTTTGTCACAAAAAGCTAATTGAATGTTATCTGAAATGTTGC